CAACCCAGCCACTGGCAAACCCCCAAGGGACGGAGCTGCCTGGGCAGTTTGCTGCGTGGGCAGCAGGACTGACTGACCGACTGGAGGAACAGGAAGGGGAAAGGTTGAATTCACCCTTCATGCAAACAGCCGGCCTCCTTCTGCAAACACCCCAGCTCTGGTCCCAGGGCTGTGCTCAGGTTTGAGCACTGCCACCAGCTTGGGCAGTTGGAGCAGGAGCTGGATGAGGCTGGATGGAGCGTGCACTGGCAACTTGTAAAGCAGCAGCAAAATGAAGTGGGACAGAACAGACTTCACAATTCCAGCTCCTCCTGGAGCAGCCCCGAAGCCGGCGTGCCCGGCAGCAAGCAGGCGTATCTAACCACTTCCCACCGCTGGCCTTCCTCAGCGCCTGGGAGAAGCCACAACATCTCTCCAGAGTGCTGGAGAGGGGATTTATCACTTCGCCGGGTGCCAGTGCAGATAAGGTGCGGCGCCATGCAAAAACCCAGCAGCAAGTCAGTGTGCAAAGGGGACGGTTCTCCAGCACCCAAAGGCGCCGCCACGTCCCTTCCCTTGGGACATGCAGAGGGTTAAGTGCGCCCCAAACTGACCCCAGCACCTAACGTGACACCCATCCCAAGCTCCTGCTGCTCTCCCATCACTCTCCAAGGGCGGGATGCTGCCTGGGGGTGACAGCCACCACGACCCTGCCCACCATGGCAGGCGAGTTTGACATTTGCAGAGAATCTCCCCCTGTTCAGTCCTAATAATTAGTCAAGTAGAGGCGGATTTTTGCAGCATGATACAAGCAGCAGGGAGCAGGGAATGCAAGCGCGGGGGCTGCTTTCCAGGAAAGTGAGGGCTTTTTCTCCCCCAGGGAGCAGGGGTGGAGGGAAAAGCGTGGCCAGGACATGATCCCTCACCCTGTCACCCTCTGGACAAGGCATGAAGCCAGGATAAGACCCCGGGCCCAGGGCATCCCAGCTCCATCGATGCAATGTCCCAGATCAAAGCCAAGCCTGCGACCCAACGCTGACACGCTCCAGCCTCAGGGCTGCTGGCCACCAGCTGCTCGGCATCCAAAACAGTAGGAAAGTGATAATGTCCAATGGAGAAGTGATGGAAATAACCACCCGCTGCCACTGGGCAGGGGTGTCATAGGAGGAGGCAGTGGGAAAAAATCTACAAGCTCCATTTTCTAACTGGGTGGTCCTCTGGGCATCCATGCCACGATCTCAAATAAAAAGAAAAAAAAAAAGGAACAAAAAAACAACAAAAAAATACTGGTAGCTGGAAAGACGTCCTCAAATTCCTCTATCTGTGCCAGTCCCCATGCCCCGAGAGAGCACACGCATGGAGAAAATTAAAAGTAACTGCTTTACACTCTGCTCTTCTTCCAATTCAGGCCAGGCAGAACTTTGAGGTTAATTCCCAGCCTGTCCCATGTTGTGGGGGCTTCATCCTACAGACCAAAGGCATGTGTGTGCAGGCATGGATTGGGCAGTTGGTATGGAGACCAGGGATCCCACAGTGACCCCCCCACAGCCCTGCAGAGCCCTGGGTGGCTGCTTGGGAAGAGGGTCCCACTGGCCAGGCTGGTTTTCTCCTGGAGATGGTCCCTATGAACCATCCATCTTCCCAGGGCGGGCTCTGGAAAGTTGATTCCACACAAGGTTTGCAGGTGGTTACAAGGGACCATGTGATACTGGCACAGGCACGTCTTGCCAGGAAAGAGGGAATTCCCACGAAAAGGGAATTTCTCCCTTGCTGGGAAAGGAGCAGCATCAAGTGAGCTGGCAACGAGTGGGTGGCACAGCCAGGACACAGCCACTACCAGTATGGTGTCTGCCAGGGACCAGCGGCCAGATCCTGCCACCGATCACAGGGTGATCCTGCCATCCTGCACAGGATCACAGGGCTCTGATCACCCACAACCCACAACAACAGATTTTCCCAAAGGGAGAACAGACGCGGTGACTGACCCAGTTTTTCCCATGCACCCCAGAAGGTCAAACACGGATTAGGCCGGGGGGGGTGGTATGTCAAGGGAACGTCACCTCCCACCTGCAGCCCTGGGGGGGGACACAGTCATGTCTCCAGTGGGTGGTGGGACCACATGTAGCTGCCCCAAATCACCCCGACCCCCGTCCAGCAGCAGAGCCACGCACAAAAACAACTCGTGAACGCAGCGCTCCCGGGATTAGGGACTTAGCGTCCACACAGCCCTTTGAAGTTGGAAGCGCTAAGTCTGATTATTATTAGAGAGCTCCAGCTCATTAATCCTGATGTTTGGGGCTGGATTTCCCCCCTCCCAGCCCCATTCCTAAGCCAGTTCCCGAGTACGACGGAAATCCACTACTACCACTAAATATTTGTGACTCTTTGCAAACACACTCTGAGTCTCTGCCCCAGCGGCTCCATCAGCCCGGAGCAGCAGCTCCTAACACCCACACAGGTATTTTTATCTAATAAAAATCCAAAAGAGACACGAGTGCGTAAGTGTGAAGTACCTTCACCTTTCCTGCAAGCCAAGTACAAAGGTCAGATGGCTCCCAAAGACTTTTCTAGCCTGACTCTAGGTAATCACCAACACTGCCCCTGTCCACGGGGCGAGCAGGATGCGCTGAGCATGGAGCCCCCACACGCTGCCGTGTGGACGCCCCCCGACCCAAGCCAAGCTCAAAAAAAAAAAAAAAAAAGAATTAAAAAGGCAGAAGCATTCAGAGCTGTTAAATGAACCGTTATTCCTGGGTGTGCTTTGGAGCGAGCACACCCCCACGCCCAGCCAGGCTCCTCGCTGCAGCACCTCCGACACGGGGCACACTGGGAGGGGAGATGGGCAGGGTGGCGGGGAAAGCGCCGGGGGGGGCAGCGCTCTGGGGCTGCTCGGCGGGGCGGGAGGGTGCGTGCGTGCATCACACGCCACCACAGCCACCATCTTATCTGGGAAAGCGGGATTACTTCACCCCAGCTGCGAGGGAGAAGCCGAGCGGGGATTGCGCCGTTTTCCCAACCGGAGCCCCCGCGCGCGGGGCCTGGATCCGGCCGCGGGGCTGACCCCGACCCCGTGAGGGCCGGACGTGGGAGCAGAGCCCCCCCCCCAGGGCCACCCACCATCCCGGCGGGAACAAAGCCAGCGAGGGGCTGCCCGAAACACGTCCCTGGGCCCTGGGTCCCCAGGGAGGCGGGAGGCCCCCCCATGGCAGGGCAGGCAGGCGCTGTGGGGGTGCGTGCAATGTTCTGAGCCCCCACACACACATAAAAAATAAATAACACTGCACCAGGAGGCAGCACAACCCCCAGCGGGGCAGCGGGAAGGGGCCGGCCGGGAGCGGGGGGCTCTTCCCGAGCCCCCTCCGGGACGGCTCCTTTGTCTGGGCACGGCCGCGGCGCTCCCCGCCGCCCGCCCCTTCCCGCACACACCACGGCATTTTTTCCCGTTACATTTTTTCCCTTTTAGCCCCCCGTTTTCCCCATCCCCCCCCCCCCCCCCTCCGCCGCCCCCCCAGCGAGCGCAGCAATATGTCTGATCTCATTGCCATAATAGGATCGGGAGCGGGGATGGCAGCCCCGGCCCAGAAAGGTGTGGGAGGAGGGAGGGCGGCCCTGCTCCCCCACACCCCGACACCACAGATGGGCCCCCGTGCCCCAAAACACCCCCCGTGCCCCCTGCCATGGGTGCGCGCGTCCTGGGCCTGTGTTGGGCCTGGGAGGAAGAGGAGGAAGACGGGGAAGAGGAGGAAGGCCCAGCCCTGGCAGCCCCCCAGCGCTCGGCCCTTCTCGGGAAGGCACCGGGGTCCCCTTTCCATGTCCCTGGGAAAGCTGGAGGCTGCAGGGCAGGGGGTTCATGTCCGGCACGGAGGGAATGTTTTGTTTGCAGCCGAGTTTTTCCCAGGACTTTTGGGACTGCCTGATGGAGCCCTCAGGACACCCCCCACCTGCTGCCGTGCACCCTAAGAGGGGACGGGATCACCCCAAGTGCCGGCGCTGGGCCCCAAATGGCCTCAGGGAGTGAGGCCCCAGGGGAGGTGGCACTGGGGTGTGCCATGGCCTAAGGGACCAGTGGACACTGCGGGTGTCCCACTGGACACCTGAGAATCTGTGGGGTCAGCAGGCATCCCATGGGATCGCAGGACACCCTATGGGACCAGAGAGAACCCACAGGTTCCTGGACATCCCACGGGCTTCACAAATACCTGGGTCCCTGTGCTATCTGTGGGGTCAGCAGGCACCCCATGGGACCACACACCACCCATGGGGCCAGCAGGCAGCCCATAGGACTCCTTGACACTTTATGGGACCAGTATGCACCCATGGGGCTCCTGAACACCCCACAGGATCCATGGATACCTGTGGATCCCCGTGCTATCCATGGGGTCAGCAGGCACCCCATGGGGCTCCTGGACACTTTACGGGACCAAAGTGCACCCATGGAGTTCCTGAACACTCCATGGAATATCGGGACACCAGTGGGTCCCTGTGCTATTTGCAGGGTCAGAAGGCACCCCATGGGTTCACCACGTACCCTGCGGCACCAGAGAGCACCCATGGGGTTCCTTAGCACGCCATAGGATCCATGGATACCTGTGGGTCCCTGTGCTGTCCCCGGGGTCAGCGGGCACCCCATGGGACCCTGCAGCACCTCTGACAGCCCACGATACCCATGGGAGCAGCAGGCACCTACAGAACCCTACAATATCTATGTGACCAGCAGGTACCCCAAGGAATCCCTCAGAATCCTGTGCTAACCACGGGACCAGCAGGCACCCATGGGACCCTGTGCTATCCGTGGGATCCCAGGACATCCATGGGACCCTATACTATCTATACGATCCTAAGCTATCCATGGGGACATGCATGGGACCCTACGCTGACAAGGGGACCCCAAAGAACCTGTGGGACCTCAGACTACCCCTGGGGCCAGCGGAGACCCCACGGAGACCCAGGACGCCCTGGGGGAGGTGTCCGGGGGCGTATTTCGGGGAGAAAACAGCGGGGTTTGGGGGGCAAGATCCCACCTGGTTGAGGTCCTCGTCGTTGAGCAGGTGGGACTCGCGGGGCTTGAAGCAGTTCTGGCACTTGCTCTTGTTGAAGATGTTGGCCTGGAACTTCCTGCAGGGATTGTCCTTGGCGGCCATGGCGCGGCCCGCGCCCGCTGCGCGCCCGCTCAGCGCCCGGCGGAGCGCCCGCCCGCCGCGCCCATCACCGCCGCCCCGCGCCCGCGGGGGGCGTCAAGCCAGCGCCGAGACCGGCACAAAACCCCCCGGCGAACGCAGCAGGCAAAAAAATTAAAAACCGGGAGCGAAGCGCAAGGGCGGCCGCCTCCGCTGCGGCTCAGCGGGCGCGCATGGCCCGGGCGGCGCGGCGGGGCGCGGAGAGGGGCGGCGCTGCCCGCGCCCTGCGGGGCCGGGTGGGACGGGGAGGGGCGGTGCGGGGGGGTCGGTGCGGTGCGGGGCCGGGGGTCCGTGCGGGGCGGGGCGGGACGGGGGTGCGGGCGCTGCGGGAGCCGCTCCCGACTGCGCCGCCCGCAAAGTTTCCAGCGCCGCGGAGCCAGGCGGAAAAGGGGGCGGGGCCGCCGAGCTGACGGACAGTCCCACCCACCAATGGGGGCGCACGGCCGCCGCTAACAAAAGGCCGCCCCGGCCAATGGGGAGCGAGGCGAGGGAAGGGCGTGGCCGTGAGAGGGGGCGGGGCGATAACAGCTGGGGGCGGGGTCGGCCCCGCTGGGCTCGGCTCGGCTCGGCTGGGCCCGGCTCGGGTAGCCTGGACTCCTTTAGCCTCCTTGGCTCAGCCTGGCACAGGTCGGCTCAGCCTGGCCCGGCTCGGCTTGGCCCGGCTCGGCTATCTTCAGCCCAAGTCAGTTCAGCCTGACTTGGCTCAGCTTGGCACAGCTGGGCTCGGCTTGACTTAGCTCTGCTCAGCCCAGCTCAGCTCCCTTCAGCCTGGCTCAGCTCAGCTCAGCCTAGTATGACACGGCTTGGCTTGGTACAGCTCAGCACAGATTGGCCCAGTGCAGCTCAGTGCAGCTGGGCTTCGCTCAATGCAGCTTGTCCCAGATGAGGTTGGCTTGGCTCAGTTCAGCTCAGCCAAGCTTTGTTTGCCTCAGCTCGGCTCAGCCCCTGTAGGAGGAGTTGCATTTTGCCCCCTGCGCTCTACCCTGCCATGCACAGACCCCCCCTCCTACGGCACCGTGACCCCCCACAGCCCACACACAGCCCAGGCCCCCCAGCAGTGGGACACACGGTGGCACTGCCTCGAGGTGACAAACCATTGACCCCAGCTCCATCCCCAGCCCTGGGCACAGCCCAGCCCTGGCACAGGTGGGCACACTGGGGATCATCAGCCCTTGAACGCCCAAACTTGGTGGGGGCAATACAGCCTCACACCCCTACGGCATCTCTGTGACCTGCAGCACTGGGGACCAGCTGGGGACAAAGCAGGGATGGGGTTGCACGTCCCACCTCAGCCATGGCCCCGCTGTGCCACCACCCCGGGGCCAGCTGGGAACTCCTGTTTGTCCAGTGAGTTTTTATCCGGTGGAAACCGGCAGGTAAATACACCCGACCGGGTGATAAGGACCCGGTGTGAGGCCATGGGTTTGGCCTCCCAGCTCTGCACCTGGAGAGCCCCAACTCTGCACAAAAGGACCGGGGCAGGGACCTTGGTGCCTGTGGAGCATCACTGGGGCAGAAGAGAGGTGAGAATGCTGACCCTGGAGCAGGGGAACAGGGCAAAGGTGCCAAGTGGCACCTCCAAAATGCCCCCAAGACCGGCACGTCCTGCCACACCCAGATGCCGCTGTGGCACACAGTGTCTCCTGCTCACCCCAATATTCCCCGCTGGCGCGGGAAAGGGCCCTGCTATAAGGAAGAGCCTCATGGACCTTCCTGGATTTTTGGGACCAGGAAAAACCCGTCAGAGAAGAGGCGGTGGCGTGGTCCCCTTGCGCCTGGCGCTGCCCCGCCGTTTGATGTGGGACCTGGCCTCGGCGGCCTCGCCACGCCGGCTCCGTGCTGTCATCCCCATTAAATAAAGCCCAGCACAATTGCCTGCTTGTTTATTAATTTTTGCTCCATCAAAGGCAGCTTTAATCTTCTCTCTCCCTCCTGCAATGGCCACTTGCAGTGTGCGCCATGTGCCACAGATGGGGATGGGACAGCGGATCTGTGGGTCTGACCCCGCTCCCACACCAGTGATTCCAGTGCAACCTCACCCAGCCCCAAGCCCACACCATGCTCCAGGCTGAACGTGGCCACCAACCCCACACACATCACCAGTTTGGGTGGATTTTCTCACTTTTTCCTTGATCCTAATATTATAAAAGCAGCCCAACCCTTCCCCAGGGAGGGAGGATTTTCCCCTCTGGGATTTACAGACCCTGCCGCCCTTGCCGTGGGTCCAGGGTTCACCTGGCACATGACTGCAGAAGTCCTGCTCTTTGGAGAAGGGCGGGTGATTTTCCCAACCAGCTCTTGTCCTCCCTTGATCCCGCTTTCCTCCCTCCTTCCTTCCATCCCCAGTGTTGGATTATTCTCTGCCACATCCACTTGGCGTGCCCTGCATCCCGCAGCTCCTACAGATGCCCAGTATTTTTTTCCATCAAAAAGCCCCTCTGCAGCTCCATGGACACCTCTATGTGCTGTCCCCATGGCCCCCACCTCCTCAGGGCATGGACCCCACAGACTAGAGGGTCCCTCCAGGAGCAAAGGGGCTGCTCTTTCCATAGTGCCACAGGGCACCGTCTCCTCAAAAAAGGGCACGGTGTTGGCACAGGGCATGGAGCAAGGAGCAGGGATGGCGTCTCCCGTCCTCAGGCTGTGCCTGCCCTGAGACGCGGCCGAGCTGCTCCGTGGCTCGGGGCCACGACCTGGCGCCACACATGGCCCTGCCGGAGCCGGCAGGACCTCGCGGGAAGCGGCTGGTGCCGGGGCTGGCTCCAGCCTCTCCAAAAATCCAGCTGAACGGGACAGGCTTCTCCGCAAACCTGTCGGGCCGCATTCAGCCGCGTGGAGCCGGTGTTCGCGCGCCGCCGGCCGCCCGTGTGCCACGTTCGGTGCCTGCTGGAAACTCACTGCTGAGGACATTCCCTGCATGGCCCAGATCCTGGCACGGCCATGGCACCAAGGGGCCCCCACGTGTGCCATGGAGATGGGTGTCCCACCCCATCATCCCCCCATTGCCACCGCCACAGGTTGGGGCTGCCGTGTGTAACAGGTCTCTGCAGCCCAGAGCCAGTATGGAGCAGTTTTCTCCAACAAGGGCAATTAAAATAATGGGAAAATGGAAAGTATTTGTCAGGGCTCTGCAGTGGCAGAGGGGGAAGGCACTGTGGTGAGTCAACCATCCAAACCAAAGCCCCAGCGCCAGGTAAACAAGCTGAAAACCAGGAGGTGTTAGTCACCGGCTCCGGCTGTGCCGGCCCCAGCCTGGGAAGGGAATCGGCAAAACCCTCCAGCTCTGGGAACACACCAGTGAGACAAGAGCAGCACCCACTCCCTGTCATGGTGTGGAGATCCCGCCAAGACCATCCATCGCCTCTGCTCACAAGGGTTTACCAGGATGGGGATGTGGCACTTGTGGCTGTGCCGTGTTTTGCCAGCAAAGCTGTGATGCAGCACATTTTTCCGCAGGGCCGGGCGCTGCCGGGGCAGGAGCAGGACAGCCAGGTGCTCCTCCCAGGTGGCCATTGCTCCCCACGGGACCTTGGGCAAGTCATTTAATCCCTCTGTGCCGCCACCTCGCCGTCATTACAGTGGAGCCAGACAGATGGATGCCCAGGGGAGAGGGCAGGAGTTGTGGTTTAAAGCCAGCAAGCCCTGGGATCCCCTCTGGATCCAGGCTGGGACCCAGTGGCGCCTCTGAGGGCTCCCATCCTCCTGCCCTGCTCCAACCTGTAGGATGCTGGATGCAGCCCCTGGTTGTGTGGGTGTCCAGAGCCCTCAGCACAGCCGTGCCTGGGGAACATCTGGCAGGGGAACCACTGATCAAGGGAGTTTGGAATGGTCCTCGAGCCATCCTGTGTCTTATAGGGGTGAAATCCACAGGTTAGAAATCCATATAGGGTGAAAAACACCCTCATGGATGGAGGAGAAGTCTCCTAGGAATTGCCCTGGGAACTGTCTCTGTGCCCTGCCTTCCCTGTGCCCGATTTTCATAGGATCACACAATCATAGGGTGGTTTAGGTTGGAAAAGACCTTAAGGATCATCTCGTTCCAACCCCCCTGCCATGGGCAGGAACACCTTCCACGAGGCCACGTTGATCAAAGCCCCATCCAATCCCATTTTTCTCACTGGGAAAAATAAAAGGACCCAAATTATCTGCTGAAGGAAATCCACAGCACTCAAGTGCAGCTGATGCATCCCACAGAGGAGGATGCAGCTTCCACGGAGCTGGAAAAAAGCACGAGGATGGTCCAGAGCAGGTTTCACACACACACAGAGGCTTGAGCTTCTCCCAGAAGCTACAGTAAATCCTGTCCCACTAAGCAGAGCTTTCCTCTTGTCCAGAAGTGCCAAATGTCTGTGAGTTCATACTCTTCTCCTACAACTGATTAATTATCCTCCCAGTTGGGTTATCACTGGGTCCTGTGGCTGCTGCTGCCATTGGACCTCACTGTGCTTTAGCAGGGAAGATCCGTGTCTTTTGCTCCCACACGTGTCTCCCCACCTTTAGGGCCCTGCCTGTCAGGCTGGGCAGAGGAGACCACCTTGTGATCCCCTCCTCACCTCACCATCCCTGCTAAAAACATCCTCCCATGCAAATTCGGGTCCTCTCAGCCTCCTCCATCACTCGCCCCCTTGGCCACCGCCCCGGAGCTGCCAGTGCAGCCGTCGGATGTCTGCTCTGCTGACTCCATATAATGCAAGTTTTACAAATGAAAATGTCACATGGCCCTAAATTAAATACTTTGGAGAAACCCATTATAATGCAGCAGCACAATTAGCTTTATCAGCCAGCCTAGAGTCATGCCAAAAACCAAAGCCGACTCACTTGACAGGAGCTGCCATCCATGAAACCAAGCTAACGACCTTAATTATATTTTTAGCTTCTAATTTTTGGCTGACAGTATCCCCAATTACCCAGCCCATAATTTGTGCAGGGACTGCGATCAGCCTTACCTGGTCTGTAATTCCCAGGGTCAGCCCTTTTATCCCTTTTAAATATTAGACTCCCACTGGCTGCCCTCCAGCCCTCTGGAATTTCCCCAGGGTTTTTAGTGTTAAAAATTAGCAGCGGAGCTCCTGGGCAGGCTGCAAGTCCCTTCCTGAGAGGGTCCTGCCAGGAACGCCTCTCCTAAGAAAACCCAGTGGTGTCGGGGACGGGACAGGGAGTTGTTCCCACCAGGTTAAAGCTCCATGTAATCTGATCAGCTGCTCTGACCAAAGATTGCTCTTTGACTCATCTCCCTTATCCGCCACCCACGCTTTACACCTCAGCACACAGCCCTGGCACTGAACCCTCCTTTCCCTGCTCCTTCCCTACGCATTTATAGGGTTTTATCCTCGCTTCCATGCCAGCCCTCAGCCAAGCCACGTCTTTGTCTGTCCTTGCTCTCCAGTTGGCTACCAGGTTTGGGGAGCCAGCCCTGAGCACAGCCTGGTTTTTGGTAATGCTTCCCTTTCCTGATGTGTGCCAGGTTTTGGCAAGGAGGCTCTTGCAGCATCACTGTGATGATGAACAGGGACACCTCTGGAGCCTGGGTCACCCTGGGTCTCACCACAGTTGCTGTGAGGAGCAGGCCCTTGGCACAGACACTGGTGGGTGCTGAGCACCCTTGGGATGATGTCCTGCTGCAAGCCTGCAGGGTGTTGGCAGGATAAGGTGTGAAGGGAGGAACAGAGCGGCGTGGGATGTTTGGGGGAATCTGAACCCCACCAGGCACTGGAGACTGGTGCAGATGGAGGTGGTGGGGACTGGGCAGGAGCCAGCCTGGGGCTGTGGGGCAGCACCTTCACATGAGGCCACATGGAAGTGTCCAAGGCCAAGTTGGACAGGGCTTGGAGCAACCTGGTCTAGTGGAAGGTGTCCCTTCCCATGGCAGGGGGTTGGAACAAGCTGAATTTTAAAATCCATTCCAACCCAAACCATTCTGAGGTGCTGTGATCCCCCTTGGCCCTTGGCCTGGCTGGCAAAGGCAGGGCTGGAGTGGCCAGCTGGAGGATTTTCAGGCTGCAAGGGCAGCCAGAGCCCCAGCACCCGGCAGGAGCCGGGCTGGGCTGGCCAAGGGTGCCATCTCCTGGGGACAGACCCACACAGCCGGGCCCAGCATCGCACTCGGGTGCAGGAGTGAGGAGCTGGAGCTGCACCCCGAGGCTCCCCGTCCGCCCAGGTACTGCCATCGCTGCCGTCGGCTCCCGGCTGGGGGGTTGCAGGCAGGGCAGGCGGGCAGGGCGGCTGGAAACGTGGCCACAAGCACACTGTGTTGGTTCTTCCCGAGTGGGGTGGCCACAGCACGGCCACAGCTCTGAAACGATGTGTGGGTGCAGATCCTGCACAGGCACCCGGCGTATCCTCACAGATCTGTCCATACACTGAAAAACCAGGCAGTGTTGGTGGCTGTTTGCACCAGCAACCCTGTGAGTTTGGTCACGTAGTGGCTCTGTTTGCCACGAGACGTTGGTGGCAGTGGCAGGACAGGGATGACGGCCGGGCAGAGCCCAGGGGACGGGCACATCCTGACTCCAGGGCGCCCGAGGGGAATTAGGGTGAGAGAAATGAGTCCTCAGCAGCCGTGCTCGGAGCCATCTGCGCCCAGCCCAGCCCTGCAGTTGGCAGTTTCGACCCTAAAGGGCTCCTCTTCCCCTTCCTCCCCCCATGGCCCCTTTTTTCAGGTCCCAAAGGGAGCATGTGTGTGAGCAAATGCCTTGGCCGAGGTGCAGGGACTGCAAAAGGCAGATGGGTTGGGGGGAGGCTGGGAGGAAAATATTCTGGCAAAGCTGCTCGAAGGGAAGGCAAAGAACCCGCCAAAATTTTCAGAGCCAAACGTTATCCACCCTGTCTGCCTGTTACCTGCAGCTCTCCTCACAGCACTGCCACTGGGGCAAGAGCCCAGAGGAAAAATACATTTTATTGTTGGGACAAACTGGGTTCTATCATCCCAAACAGACTATGGCATCTCTGGAGCCATGAGCAGATGGGCACTGAAGGATGCAAATCAATGTGGGGGGATGCAGAGGGGATGTTGTGGGATGCCAAGCCATGCAGATGAATGCACAGGGATGCATTGCACTGAGAGGATGCATGGGGAGCTGCTGATTGATGCTCTGGGGAACCAGTGAACACAGCAAAGGAAAGGTTAAACTCAGGAACCCCTAGCAGGGAGCTGGTAGCTGCTGTCTGATCCCCTGATGAGCACAGGGGCAACCCCAGGCAGGGCAGAGCAGCAGCCACCACCTTGGCTGTGAGATGGCAGCTCACAGGGGACCATGTCTGGAGGTGTTTGAGAGCCACACTGCAACCCCAGGGGCTGTGGGAGGGGTGATGCTGTTGGGGGCACAAAGGGTCAGACCTTGGGGCACACGGCCAAGCAGACGGGGCTCCAGTCCAGCACACACCAAGGATTCTAGAGCAGAAACCACACTGCCTGATCCCTGCTCAGCGAGGAGGGACAAACCACCCCCAAGTGCTTCTCACTTCCCTCTTGAAGGTCACCAGGGTGGAAACTGCAAGTCTCTGGCTGCTATTTACAGAGGTGAGTTTCCCCTGCAAAACCCCGAGAGCTGGAGGGCTCGGGCCATTGCTCCAGGGCCACTGTTCAGGGGCCGTGCTCTGCCACACTCAACCAGCCCAGGCAATGCCAAAATCACAATTTCCTTCACCATCAGCTTTATCTCTGCATGGAAATGGGCCACAGGCTCTGCCCTCTGCCCGGGCACAGCATGAATGGGATGACTCTGCACATGGACAGCCACCAGTTGCCTGCAAAGGTGCATTTCCCCCCAAGCCCTTGCACCACACAACCCCCCTTCCAGTGCCTCTGCCTTCCACTCCCTCCCAGGACACTCCACGCACATTCCCAGTGGGAGACTCAAACCCAGAACAATCCCACCCCTTTCATCAGATGCACAGCCACACACGAGGCACAGTGCTGGAGTTGCAGAGTCCCTCTGGCCACGGTGCCTCCTCTCCTGGTCCTCACTCCAAGCCCTGCGGTCCGTGGGATGGTGCCGATGCTGCTTCTGTCCCTCCCACAGGATCCAGGATATGATGGGCCACATCCAAACATGAGCTGCTGTGTTCCTCTGGACTTTGTTCCCTGTGAACAGGTTCAGCTCCTGATGTCCCTGCAATGGACACAGTAGGAAAACGTCCTTCTGATGAGTTGCAGCTCACCACGGCAAGCACAAAGTGGGAGTTTTTGAACCGAACAGAAAAAACCTTGATGCTGCTCCACTGACATTTATAGTAACAGATATTGCTGTTTCCTTCCTCATTCAGCAGTTTCTGCAGAAAGGTCCCACTGGACTGAGCTGAGTCACTGTTCCACTGTGCTCCCAGTGCCCTGTGCCCCTTCCCTGCACCACAGACATGGCACAGCCCTGCCCAGCACCTCTGCAGGAAACAGGGAGAATCCTCTGGAGGCTTCCAGCAGCACATAGGTGGCTCTTTCCCACTGTGAAACCAAGCTGTGTTATTCATGCTTTGTGCTTTGAGCCCAGTCAGGACCCTGGTTGCTCAGGCAGGACATAGCACAGCTCTCCTGCCTCCCAGACATGGATACACCAGAGAAAATCAGTATTTAAAGTATCTTATTGGGGCCCACAAGATGAGCTGTGAGCAGGAGACAAAATAGTGGTGTGGGCTGACCACCCTGAGGACAGGGAAAGGATGGATGCCCCAAGAGATGCTTGGTCCCCGCAGCTGCCTCCTCCACAGAGCAAAACATCCTTCTCTGTGGAAGAAAACATCCCAATGGCACAGGCTGCCCAGGGCAGTGGTGGATTCACCATCTCTGGAGGGATTTAAAAGACATGTAGATGTGGCACTTGGGGACATGGTTAGTGGTGAACGTGGCTGGGTTAAGGTTGGACTCGATGATCTTAGAGGTCTTCTCCAAACCTAATAATTCTGGGATTCTATTGCAGCCAGGTGCCGCAGAGCCCCTGCCCCTCCAAGCCCCTGTGAAAGGTGGCCACCTGGCCCAGGACACCTGTCCCTGCTCCCAGTGACACATCACCCCGCAGTGTCCCTCCCACCCTGACCCGCACTCCCGGCAGCCCAGGGACCCCACGAGCCAATGGAACGCGCTGGGTGTGCGGCCGATTTGCATGGAAGGGATAAGGGGAAACCCCAGGAAATGCACAGCCCAGGCATTAATCAAATCTTTCTCTAATAATAAACCCTCCAAGCCATGCAGGGGCCTGGGGCTGGAGCTCGTGGTGCCATGGCAGGAGCCGAGGGGGATTAGACACCACGGGAGAGTCAAACGTGAGTCACCCCATGGAGGGGCTGCACGGGGAGATGGGGGTGAGGGGCTGGTCTGTGCCAGGCCTTGGGGCTTGGCCACGTTCCCAGAGTGCCGGCAGGGAGTGGAGGGTCTCCTCAGGTCCTTGCTGGAGGAGCAGAGCCACCACAAAGGGCTCCCACCCTGCTGAAGTGGTCAGTGCTGGGGGGCTGGAGGTGGAATCACAGAATGGTTTGGGTTGGAAGGGATCTCAAAGCTCATCTCGTTTCCCCCCCCTCGCCATGGGCAGGGACACCTTCCACTAGCCCAGGTTGCTCCAAGCTCTGTCCAACCTGGCCTTGAACTTCCAGGGAAGTGTGGGAAACCACAGCTTCTCTGGGCAACCTGTGCCAGTGTCTGACCACTCTCACAGGGAAGAATTTCTTTCTAATAACTAATCTAAATCTACCCTCCTTCAGCCTAAAGTAATTCCATCTTGTCCTGTGGTCAGCTGATGATTGGGATGCGGGATCCATGGGGGAATTCAGGGTGCTGGTCTCTAATGGGTGGAGGGACAGAGGGGCAGACGCACCTGGCTCTGCTGGAAAACCCATGGCTGCAAAGCCTGGCTGCACCGTGCTGGGAGCACCATGTGCATCTTGGGGGTCTCCAGGGAGGGGAGCTCAGCCATCAGGCAGGATTTGTCCTAGATAGGGCCAAACATCTCCTTGGACCTGCCCTTGGAGCAGCTGGGAAGGAGGTCCACAGTCTGCATCCCCCCGGCTTCAACACAGCCCTAAACCTCTGTTTCCCATACAATTATCCCTTGGGAAACCCCACCATGGGTCAAGGATGGCTGAGGCTGCCATTCCCAGGGTTCACTGCCATCCCCAAGGACTCCCAACATCCCCAGGGCTTCCTGTAACTCCCAAGGGCTTTCTGCCATCCCCAGGGATCTTGTCATTTTTTTCTCTCTGGGTATAAAGTATCTTCAAGGAGCACTGGAGGAAACCACCTCCCTCTGCCCTGGGGATTTCTCCAGTCAGTTCAACAGAAAGTCATTATTTAATTTTATAGCAATGTTAATTGAACAACTGGGAAGATAAGGCTGGCATCCCTGTGCTGAGAGAGGATTTATCCCTAGGAATGGGAGGGTTTTACCTGCGCTGCTTCAGGTAGGAGTACACATCCACAGCCCCTCTGCAGGGTGGGAGATGGCAGGACAGACGGACGCGCAAAGTGCCCAACCTCTGCACGCTCCCAAGTTCTAGAGAGAGAGGAGAGATCCTAGCAGAGCACAGGGGATTTTCTGGATAAAATCCCAAGCCTGGCTTTGCCAAGGCAGCATTGCAGCCTTTGGGCACGCGGGGGCCAATTCCACACCTTCTGAGAGTTTTAACCTTTTTGGGCCCCGTCAGCACCAGCATCACCCACCCAGGAAACAGCTGCGGCTCCCGGCACGGCTCCGCTGAGGGATGTGGTGTCCCACGAGCCCTCTCGGCCAGCAAAGAGCACATTTCCACCACGGCCACCCCCGTGCTGGGTTAGAGCTTCCTGCAGCTGCTCCGTGGCCGCAGACCCCGCACGTGGTGTTAACGCGGCACAGTGTTCATCAGGTGTAAGTCGTTGACCAGATTTTTGGGCTGCTGAGGGCTGCTCATGCCTTGTTTCTGTGTCCTTGGTGTCACACGCAGCACATACAGGCACTGGGAGCACCGTGGCAGGGGATGGTGGGGCAAACAGCCCGTCACAGGGACAGGAGCACGTCCACCTCTAGGCATCCCAGGTGGCACTAAAGCTCTCCTGGGGACACGTCCCTCCTGCTGCTTCGGGGAGTCTTACACATCAGGTGGGGTTTCACTGTGACACCATAACACTCAAAAGAGATGTCAGAAATGACACATGAACCACCTTGGAGCCACAGAGGAATTCAGAAGTTTCCAGAACTAAAATTTGTTTCAGAAAACGTCACCAGTGCTCACTCGGGTCTTGTTTCTGGTCCCCCCTGTGAGCAATCCCAGCCCTAGAAAGGGATGAGGTGGCTGCAGAGCAGCCCCATGGTGGCCACCCCGTACCTACCTGTGCCTCTCGTTCCGCAGCCATGGATGGGACACGCGTGGGGCGGGATGCCATGAACAACTGCACCGACCAGGAGTACTGGGACACCCTCGTTTCCCAGTGCATCCCCTGCAGCCTCGTGTGTGGCCGGCCCACAGCCAGCAGGTGTGATGCCGTGTGCGGTGAGTGCCAGAGGGGCAGTCACGGGTACCACGGGGCTGTTCTGGGATGGAGCAGGCAGGGATGGGGCAAAGCTGGGAGGGAGGATCAGACCCTGGGATGAACCCCAGGGTAGGCTCTGAGCCAGCTCAGCTTAGCAGAGCTTTGGGCCAAAAATGCAGGACTATTCAGCTCAAAAAATGAGCCAAAATGTTGCAAAAATGCAACGGCTTCCCAGCAATGGGCTGGGGCTGGCTCAGCGCAGATCAGGATGGAGTTGCCCACTACACTGCTTGCTCCCTTCTGGGGTCACAGGGCTGCATTAACACTTCTGTCCCCCACTGGTGTCACCCCACCCTCCAAAGGCAGGGCCTGGGGAGCCATCAGGTTCAGTGGATGTGGATAATGATAAACCCAAGCTGTAGGTCTGTGAGCCTGAATCGTGGGCCCTGAGCTGGTACAGGCCCTGAGGTGTCGTGTAACAGGTGGGGAGGAGGAAAAGGGACAGATGCACTTTGCACCCAGACCCTGTGCAGTGCCCCTTCCCTCCCTGGTGAGCCACAGTCTGGGATGGCTCCACCCTGTCCCAGGGCTCAGGGGACACAGCCCTGCACACACAGCCACAAGTCACGTCTCTCTGCTGAGGACAGAGATGCCACCCCCAGCATTCTGAGCCAGGGCTCAGGCAGGTTTTGGTATGTCCCAAAAAACTGTGCAAGCCTCAGGGCAGCAGCAGCTCTAAGAGCAGCAGCCAGGAGCTCCCAGCTGCAGGTGGGTACAGTTGGCTGCAACCATTCCCTCCCTGTGCAGCCGCCAGCAGATGCCTTTCCCCAGCATTCACCACCCAGTCAAACACCACCCCAAATCCCACGGATCTGTCACCCTGCCAGTCCTGGAGAGGTTGTCCATGCTTATGGCAGTGCATCGGAACCGTGAGCTTGGGCTCGTCCTCTCGTGAATCCGGGCGCCCAGGGGTGCTGGGAGGGTGGTTTGGGAGCCTTGTGTGGGAGGATGTGCTGAGGACACCGTGTTCATCTCCCTCCTCTCCTGCAGAGTCCATGGACTGCAACAAGACCCCTGGATTCTACTACGATGACCTCGTGAGAAGCTGCATCGAGTGCAGCACCATCTGTGGGCAGCACCCCAAGGAATGTGCCCCGTCCTGCGAACGTGAGTGCGATGGGGGCGGGACCCCGGGGCTGGGCTGGAAGAGGAGCTGGGTTACAGAAGTTGGAGAAGGGGCAGCAAAGCCCACCCTGCTCTTTGTCCTGGGGGGGGCTGCAGTGCCTTTTCCCTGTCGTGTGCCGGTGATTTACAGGCCTGTTGGCTCCACCAGCCAGAGCAGGACTGGCAGCTGCAGATCCCACCTGGCTGAGCCGCCCCCAGCCCTCAAGGAGGGGGAGTGAGAAGGGACTGGTAGATCCCAAGATCTACAAGTCCCACACGGGGGTTGAGACAGTGAAATGATCCCTGGAGGTGGGGGAAGGCTGTGCACAGGGTGTGGGAAAGGATCTCCTCTATCTCACCCTGGAAGAGAAATGCCAGCAGACAGAGGGGTACAGAGGTGCCCTCAAATCCTTTCCCAGTGGAGAGCACGAGTGTTATCAAAAGTCAGTGAGGGAATCACGTACCCGAGGGGTGCCTGAGCTCACCCACCTCTGCCTGACCCGCAGCCTCTCCCCCGTCGCCCGCGGCCATGCTGGAGCAGAAGGCGTGTGCGGAGCAGGAGCCGTGGCTCGTGGTGTATCTGCTGCTGGGGCTCTGCCTCTGCGCCCTCATCTGCTCCCTGCTCCTGGGCTGGACACACCTACGCAGGAAGGGAGAGGTGGGCTCCTGCCAGGCTGGCACTGGGACCTGCCACTGCAGGGAGGACTCTGCCAAAGGTGGGTGCTGGATGTACTGGGGGGACTGGGAGAGGGTGGTGGGCAGGCTCAGGCTCCCAGGCACTGCTGGAGGGGCAGGAAACGGAGCCGGATCCTAAGAGGGAGATAAAGTAAAGCCAGTGATGGGCAATGTCGTTCAGCCTGAGCCTGGAAGGGGAGCAGGACTGGACCCCTGTGCCCCAATTCTCCTCCGTAACCCCCTTCTCAGTCACTCCCCACGAAGTCCCAGGCACCATCCGCCAGCACCTCTCCAGTCTCCACCCAGAAGCCAACCCTCTTCCAAAATGAACCACCTGTCCCAGGAAGACCCAGTTTTAGCTCTGGAGCCAAAGGGACTTCACAAGTCCTTGCATTGAGGAGAAAAAATAGGGAAAAGATAATGTGGAGCAATCCAACACGGAAAAGGGGTTTTTATTCTTCCTCCTCCTCTTCTCCCCTGCCTTTCCAAAAAATTGTCTACTTACCTATTTCTCTACACACACACATGCTTACATTTGCATACCTCAAAGCCATCAGGTCAAAAATCACAGAGGAAGAGCCCAGGAGCTCTCTGTGTGTCACAGAATCGCTCCAAGAAGTGTCCCCCAAGCCACTCCTGCTTGCTTTGCCAAAGGACATGGGACATCAGTAACTTTTAAGGGAAGCCGCCAGGTTTGGAGACATTTACTGGGTGTTCTTTAATGCTCCAGCCTAGCTGTGCTCTTCAGGGCTCAGATGATGGATCAGACCCTTTGACAGCGAGTGTCCAGCTCGTGGACACCGTGGGTCCCTTGGGAGCCATGGGAGCCACCTGGAGCTCTGGCACCTTGTGCTGCACTGTGGCATTGGCTACAAAAGCAGCCTTTAATGCAAAGTCAATTTATACATAACGTTATAAATATTACACTTAGTGCTAAACCTCCATCCTTCCTGTTCCAGACGCTTCCCCATTTCCCCTCAGGTCTCAGCTCCGTGGGCAGCAGGACCAGGTGTGGGCAGGCAGCTGATGCAGCACAGGCAGCACACAGTGCTGGGACCTGCCTGTCCTCTCCAGATCCAGGCCCAGCTCCTCATGGGTTTTAGTGCAGCCCTTTGGAGCATTCCTTAGGTAAAAGCTGTTCCTAAAAACCCCTCAGCTAACACAGTTTCTCTGCAGATCGGCTGGTGGAAGCGGGCAGCGTCGGTGAGGGATTCACTGGCAGCAGAGCCCCAGAGCCAGTGGAAACCTGTGGCTTCTGCTTCCCTGGACACGGCTCTGCTGTACAAGAGACCAAATCATGCCACAGCACCTTGTGTCACGCTGGGGAAAGAGCTGCTCCCTCCTACACCGGGATCTGCAGCACGGGAAGCGCTGGGGCCACTCCCAGCCCTGAGGACGGCCACTTCAAGTTTTTTTGTTCTCCTTCCCAAGAGAAGACACCCATGGTGTGACCAGAGTGGATGTTCCTGCACAGGATCAGAATGGAGGGGTGCTCCCTCTGCCCCCAAAACACAGTTGCTTCACCCTCTGCTGCCAGTGACTGGAACAGCTTCTACCCGGACTGGCCGACCCAGCTCAGGCTTTGCCAGGGGCTGAAGGATAAAGTGAGGGCTGGAGGTTGCACAGGGCTGTTTGCTCCCACTCAGGAAGTTAAATTCTCATTATTCTTGTGCACTCCCAGTGAGTGACAGAAGTCACTTCCCATTTACCAGCACCCAACTTCATCCTCCCACTTGACCTCCGCAGGCCCTGCCGTGCGTCCCAGCCGTCGGGAGGGAACATCTCGTGGGGGCTCTTCATCCTGGTCCCACCATCAGTGACACTTTGTCTCTCCAAAGGATCAGACTGTGGTGTCCACCAGTCCCCATGGAGAGCTCACCTTTCCCTGCTTGGAATCTCCACTGTGCACCAGAACAATTTACAGCAGAGCTGTAAATACCTCAAACATGGACTTAGATCCAAGGAGTTACTGGTTGAAGCTACAAGGATCCAGGGTGGAAAGCTCCACTGCCAGCTTCCAGCACTGCTTGGGAGGGGAGGACAGGTCAGTGGTGAAGGTGAGGCTTTACCTCATGACAGGACATGAGGAGCTGGGACAGGCACCAAAATACTCAGTGGAATTTGGTTTAAATGTGGAAGCTCATCCAAGGCTGAGAACTTTTTAAAACACTGGATCTACATATGTTTGCTTTGGGTTACTCCAAATAGCTGTTAAAAGTGAGAAACCAGCTGCAGATTGAGCTGCTTCAAGGGAATATTTTTATCTGACCTGGCTTTGAAAGCTACCATAGAAAAACAGGGATTTCAACATGTAACTTGAAGTTCTTGTCTCAACTAAAGGAGAGTGCAGAAATTTTTTGCTTGGTGAGGAATTGCTCCTGGTAGGAGCTGATCACTTCCACTTTCTCAAACTAAAACTTCAAGTTTGGAAGAATAAATGAGTCAATATATGTACATACTGGCACTGGGAAAGCTGGAGAAAGCACGAGCAGAGAGTTATTAACAGACTCTATCCCTTCCATATTATATATTTCTTTAAATGTAAAAGCTTTTTTCTCATTAAAAAAGGCATCACCTGGGAGGGTGAGCCTTTCACTCTGGTCACCTCCCACACTCTCTCAGTACCAACAGTCCATTTGCCTTCCAACCTCCAGGCCTCCTCTATCTCCCACTCTCTCAATGTGAAGACTCTCTTGGCCTCCCCTCTCACGTTGCCACCTTCCCTTTCCACTGTGGCCTCTAATTCCACAGCATCATCTTCCATAGCCTTAGCTCCCTCCTGTGGAATCTGCTCCAACGTGCTCTGGTCTCATGCCATCAGTTCCTGTGGTCTCCAGACCTGTGGTTTCCGGCCCCACAACCTCAGCTCCCAGGTCTCCAATGCCTTGCCCCCAAAACCTGTGGCATCATTAGCATGCCAATCTCTCTAGACCTCCAATAGTCTTCCAGCCCCAGAAGTTACCTTGGCCTCTACCCTTGTTCAGCCTCAACACTTCCTTAGCCTCAGTTCTTCCTTGTTCTGCATCTTTGCATAGACTAATCTCTCCTTCAGCCTCCCCTGTCTCTCAGTTTCTGTTCCAGCTCAGCCTCACTCTTTCTTGCCTTTCCACCATCTCCTGTTCTGCTGTTTGTCTCCTACACCCTTCAGTCTCCCCCTGCCTTCTTGCTCAGCCTCTGTTCCTGCTGTCAGGCTCCTGCTTGTGCTCAGACCTTCAAAGCCTCTTGGTTTCTCCTCACCCTCCACTCCTGCTGTGTCCTTTTCCCTCTGTGCCTCCTACAGCACCACGTCCCCCACCCTCCCTGGGGGCTCCACCAAGCCTGAACCCCCCCTCAGGTGGGGCCTCCCCAGCACCAACAGCATCTCTTCCTCCTCTTGGTTTCCCTTCCCTGCAGCCTGTCCCCTCTGTCAGCCTCTGCAGGGTGAATCCCAGAATGGTTTGGATTGGAAGGGATCTTAAAACTCATCTTGTTCCACCCCCTGCCCTGGCAGGGACACTTTCCACCATCCCAGGTTGCTCCAAGCCCCATCCAACCTGGCCTTGGATGCTTCCAGGGATGGGGCAGCCACAGTTTCTCTGGGCAACCTGTGCCAGGGCCTCATCACCCTCACAGCCAAGAATTCCTTCCCAATATCCCATCTAACCCTGCCCTCAGTCAGTGGAAAGCCATTCCCCCTTGTCCTGTCACTCCATCCCTTGTCCCCATTCCCTCTCCAGCTCTCCTGGAGCCCCTTTAGGCCCTGCAAGGGGCTCTCAGGTCTCCCTGGAACCTTCTCTTCTCCAGGTGAACCCTCCAGCTCTCCCAGCCTGGCTCCAGCACGGAGGGGCTCCAGCCCTTACAGAATTTCCCTGGACTCCTCTGGACTCGCTCCACAGTTCCACTTCCCCCTCACATCAGGGCTTCCAGAGCTGGAATCAGAGCTCAAGGTGAAGGGGTTTTGCACCTACCTGGGGGCAGCACCAGCACATCCTTTCCTTGCATCAGGACTGGGAAAGCCCCCAGTTCTGTGTCCCCTCTGCCCAGGCACTTCCCAGTGAGGATGGAGGTTCCAGGAGAAGGAAAACCCTCATAAACAGAAGTGGTGTCTCATCACACTGCCCCTCCCCAGCAGAGAGCTCCCGTGGGCAGCACTGGGGACATGTGGCTTTAGCCCAGCTCCGGTGGCCTGTGGACCTTCAAGTGTCACCTCCAGGATCCCCCAGTCATGGCTGTGCAAGGAAATTCAGAGTCTTATTTAAAACCAGGATTTAAAACCTGAACCCCTGCCACCGGTTTTGCAATTAGGGCATCCCTCGAGGATCAAGAGGCATCAATTATTCAAAGGAGAAAGCTTTTAGGGAAGTGTTCATGCCAGCGAGTGTGGGAGCTCACCCTGCGTGGCACCGGCAGCTCCTGCTCCAGCTGGCCCAGGAGCCCACTCACCTTCTCACACCCAGGCAAAGCCCATGTCGGGACAGGGCTGTTCCTCCTCTCAACAGGTGGCCTGGTGTCCCAGAAATTGGGGAGAACACTCATCAGAAGCCAAGTGCTTCCCTCCTGCCCTGGGAGCAATCCCTCACCGTCCCCTCCCTGAGGGAATATAACTACAGTTATCAGCATAGAACAGGTAACACAGAGCACCTTGAACAAAGCAGCAGTGAGAGTAACATACATCCTTGGGTCCTGGAGAACCAAGAGGAATCAATGGATTTGGTATCACATTTGCAGCCATTGGCCAGCAGCTCCAATGGATCACAGCTGGAGACATCACTTCCAACACTAGGACGTTGTATGTTTGGAACACAAACAGTTCCAGCTGGGTGAGTCACAGTAAATGGAATTAAGGGCACTAATTCTGAGCAGCAAGAGCACTCACTCAGGGTTTAACCAATTCTCCCATTTCTGCTTTTTCCATTGGGCACCAGCATCAGGCAAAGCTTTGGCTACAGTCGAGTGGCTGAGGGTCAAGAACATACACCTAAAGCCACTTTCTGGGTATTTTTGTGCCCCCTGTAGGGCTCTGTTCACTGCTGGCAGGTCACAGAACACACAACCACCATGAGCCTGCATCACTGCACCAGCCTTTGTTTCCAGTCATTTCTGCAGATGCCTCCTCCCAGCAGACCCAGCTGTGCCGATATAAAATGTGTCTCAAAGCAAACAAGTCAACCCCAAACTGCTCCCCGAGATGAGGAGGGTGAGCAGCTGAAGCAGCAGAGTTGTCACTCGAGGAGGAGGCAGCCTGTCACTGCTGTCTGTCAGCACATCGGGGAGGCTCCGCTTCACTCGTGCTCGGCGTTTTCCTACAGGAGACGTTGAGGGAGTTCCAGAGAAACCTCCCGGCTCCCCAGGGAATAACTCAGCACAGGAGCTGCACAGCTGCTTCTGAAGGGATGGAGGGCAAGAGAAGGCTGTGTTGGAGAGAAAGAAAGCAGCATGAGGGGTAGTGCTGCTCATAAGACAGCAGCTGCTCTTCCATTTTTATAGGAAGAGGGAAAATGCTCTCCCCTCCTCTCAGAACCTGCGCTGATTTACTGCTGCTGGAAACAGGACTGTGCCTGGTACAATCTGGAGAGGGACACGGAGGGTGGGATGGCAGGCGGGGGGGGAAGAAAAGAATAAGAGCTTTTAATACACCAGGAATTCTGCTTTTGAAACCAGAAAGAGCCCTGAAAGCTCCCCCTGAAAACCATCTGCGCCGGTGCAGTTGCACAGAGCAGAGCCCCCTTCACCAGATGGGTGGGGAGGAAAACCTAACGGTGATTTATACATCTGGCCTCGTCCCTGAACAGTTTGTTTCTAAAGGCTTAACAAAGCAGCCTGCAGTCGCTCCGGTGGGGCGTGTGCTGTGCAAGAATTCATTAAGAAAGCAGCCAAAGGCTCAGACCTCGGCGCCACAAAGCGAAGGCTCCGGAGTCCTCCTCGCAGCCCGCGCGGTGGCACTGCTCCTCTGCTCCTCTGCTCCTCCTCCGGCTGCAGGAGCGGCGGGAGCGCCAATGCAGCAGCCCTGGGAACGAGGAGAGGCTGCTCTCGCCCTCCTCTGCAAGCCTGCTGCATTATTAAAAGGTAGCAGAGAGCGTCGTCAGGCATCCGCACGATCCCGTGCCCGATTCCAGGGGGGAAGGAAGGAGGGGCTCCCCCTCCTGCGGGTGCGCCAGCCATCCGCAGTTCTCCAGCCATTTTCCATCCGCGACGGGAACGCTCCGGGTAAACTGTGCAGCCCCCAGTTACAGCTGGAAATTCTCTGAGGCACGACGGGTTACACAGGCAGGGGACGGGATGGCAACCCCCCCACCACACCCAGCGCTCTGGGTCTCAGCTGGCATTCGAGGTGCTTCAATTCCTTGCTTCTTCCTCCTTCCCCCTTGCAAGCTGTCGCAGAGATCTCTTGATGTACAAAACCTCCTTGTGCTCTTCCAGTCTGTGTGCAAATCAAACGAATTCCACCGCCCTTTTGTTCAGTTGCTCTTGCAAGATGCTCATTCAAAAAACAAACATGCTCAATTCCCTTAATTTACTATTTTTCTGTTCATCAGACGGTGTCTCGGGAAGGTTAGATATGTGTGAATCATTTCTAGTGCACAGAACCTAAAGGGTTGGACTCCTCTGTGTTTTTCCACACAGGTAAAAGCCAAGGAATGGCTGGCTGGATAATTATGCAGAGGTTAATGACCAGAGAAGCTGCGGCTGCCCCATTCCTGGAAGTGTCCAAGGTCAGGTTGGACAGGGCTTGGAGCAAACCTGGGATACTGGAAGGTGTCCCTGCCCACGGCAGGGGCGTAGAATGAGATGAGCTTGAAGGTCCAACCCAAACCTTTGTGATTCTGTCATTTTTGGTGTGACTTTTACACCAACTTACACGGCGCCCAACTCTGATTCCTCGCCCTCTCCATAAGGAAGGGAACCAAAGCCATTTTTGCTCTCTCATCTCTGTTCTGAGTGGTTTCTCTCACAGGCTACAATTCTACCCCCAGCCCAACCTCCTGAGAGCAAGATCCAGCACACGAGCAGTTACTGCTGGTACCTGGACACAGCGATGGAGGGGGAGAAAAGGCCCCAGAGCTCCAAGCTACACACACCAACACACAGGCCGACACACAGGCCGTGGCTCTGCAAGAGGAGAAAAGCATGTGAAGAGTTAATCCATGTGGGAGGATACAAGGAACCAATACCAGCCTAGCACATACCATGAAAATGTGTTGTTTACTTAGAGCACTGCAGAAGGGCTCAATAGCAGCAGATCCATCGCTCAAAGCTGCCCCTGCACCGACCGTTCCCAACAGATGGTACATTTTTCAATACTGAGGTTCTCTCAAGTGTCAGATATATATAAATCCACCTTTGGAAGGCAGCAAGGGAAGAAAACAAACCAAAACCAGCAACAACAAAACAAGCACTTTTGAGAAATTCAAACTTATTCGCAAGATTTAAAAAAAAAAACACCAAAAAAAACCCCAAAAAAAAAGAACCAAGACCACTCTTACAGTATAAACACGCCAATTCATTCATTTTTACTGATGGTTGCATTTATGAATTTCATTCTCGTGAAAAAAGGGAATAAAAGGAAAAAAATTAAGAAAATAGCTATTTATAGAAAACAAAACAAAAAAGGGCTCAAACAGAACAGAATCTGTGCTGATGCTTCTGACGAGCAGTCCGATGGCATTGAACATTACCTGTGCAAGCAGGCATGCTTGAAAACCTGTCTGAGTACTGCAGCTTCAGTTCCACAATCCAGGATTTCTTTTATGGTTGTTGGAAAAAAAAGAGCCTAATAGTTTCATACTGTATTTATTTAATAACTAAAATTCACAAATAAAAAGATACTTGCAAAGTCCTTTAGTTGTCTCATCCCCTCCTCCTCCACTCTACTGCTTTCAGACCCATATGCATAAAAAAATGGGTTTGGATTTTTAATTTTAACTGTTATATGATTGGTCGTTGGAGCTGAAGCACCAAATGGAGAAGATGCTTTATGGAGATGAGGGTAGAACCCTTTTGCCTTCCCACACACATTTTGGAGGAACACAGGAGATGTACCAGCACCCGGACTCCTCTGCTCCCATTTCCCCCACCCAGAGCATTCCTTTCATTTTATATTTCCTCTGTTAAGTGACTGACTGCAGCCTCCTTTCCCCCTTTCTGCCCTCGTGGGACCGCACACACGTCGGACATTGTTCATTTCTCACTCTCCAGGCTTTGAGTCAGTGTCAAGTAGGTCCTGTTACAGCTCAGTGCGAGTTGGTTTTTAATGGGTCTTTTCATTTCAGGTAGGTTTGTGTGTCGATTTAGAAGGCTTGTGTATTTTCTTCCTTGTTTATATCTGACAAGCTGCTGGATAAGGCTATTCATACTCCAGGAACTGTTTGTGATAGAACAGCAAATATCTGCAAGAGAGCAGAGGGGCAGTTTCAGTTCTCTGCTCTGCATCGGAGCAGAGGAGAGTTTTCACTGATGGGATCATAAAATACAAGGACTGTTCATTTGTTTTTTCTTTGCAATTTCTTGAAGCAACTCCAGGGACAGTAACCAGGGATGAGAAGAAGGGAAGCCAGCTGACATAATTTTACCAGCAACTCAGGAAACTGAACCATTACACATCGAACAGGAGCCCCAAAACAGCAAACAGGAGCCCCATGGATGTCCCATCCTTGGAAGTGTTCAAGGGCAGGCTGGATGGAGCTCTGAGCAACCTGGTCTAGTGGGAGAAGTCCCTGTCCATGGCAGGGAGTTTTTAAGGAAATTTGACTCCTCCTACCCAGGCCATTCTATGATTCTGTGAAACAGTCAAACCTTGCTGTACAATCTACTTAGAACCTGAAAGCTCTGGAAGATTGGACCGTGTTGGTGCCCAGACAGGAAGCAACTATTTGACACTAATGTGACACAAAATAAAGGTGTTTTAGGATGCAACTGTTGCTTTAGAGTCACATTTACTGGAGCATCAGACACCAGGATTATTGCAAACTGCCTTCAATTTACAGGTACAGAAGCAAAAGGAAGAAGCAGCCATGTGGAGGAACACTCTCAATCAAATATCCGATGTCTCAATCTGTACTCAAATCTGGTGTTTTAAAGGATGAAATTCTTCCTGTCCTTAATTCCTGTGTGTGTGCTGGCACAGAAGGGAGCCCAGCCCCCAGCAGTGACACGTCAGAAGAAGGGGACTCATCACATGCTCACACAGCCACTGATGAGCCTTAAAATGCTCCAGAGCACTTCTGACACTTTCCAATTGTTATCTTTCCATCCAAGCCCTATGGAGCTTCCCTCACACAGTGCAGATCTACTCAGTGTCAGTCTTTATCTGAACCAGGGAATGGATCAGAGCTCAAAGCAGCCTTTAATAAGATGGACAGGCAACAGTTGTGTTGCACATCCTCTCCTCCTTGCCTCTGGCAGGTCCTTCCACAGCCATCCCCCCCCTGGGCACCAGCCACTTGTGACTGACCTAAAACAAACTCATTTCTTTGCTGGCCTCAAAGCACAAGGTCCTTGTCAAATCTTTTAACACTAAAATTCAGATATTATGGATTTTATTTTTTTTTTCACTTCTGGGTTGAAGTTCAAAAAAATGGAAAAAAACCCCAGGAAAATCTATTAAAAAAATTACAAACTGAACATTGTGCCTGCAGCAATCCTTGAAAATGTCAGGAATAATTAAAGTAAGAACAGTAAAGGCTTATCTTGCCAGTACCAAATCTACAGTTGAAAATGCAAAATGAAGACTTCAGACTTTAAGTTGCTTTAAGCACCAGTCCCCAGTGCTTCTCTCAAAAGAGGAACACCACGGTGCTTCCCTTTGCAAACTGCTGCTCTCCACTCCCAAAACCTGATTAATGCAACTGTGTGAAACCACAATGTCAAACTGAAATCAATTTAAAGCCATGAGCTAAGAAACAGCTCATGTTCTCTACCTGCCTCCCATAGAGCCTTGTAACTCTGGGTCACACCATTTTCTTAATGGCTTTTCTTCAAATCTTTTACACTCATAGTAATACAAAGGTTCTGCAGGCAAAGACTGGATTGTGTCATGGAGGTAAGTACTGCTCCCACACTGGGTGATCACATCACTCTGGTTTTCAAAATCCTTTCCATTAGCAAGAGTTTGGACATGAGCACCAGTTACAGGCACTGCTGAGTCACCTGATGTTCCTCATCCTTCCCCTCTTCTTCCTTCAGCAAATCCAGGAGTTTAAAACAATTGTGCATATATATATAATTATGCATAGATTGATGCTGAAGCACTGAACACCACACAGAGACAGGAGATATTCAAAGGGAGAAATCATCCTTCTCTATGACTGAAAGGTTTTTTAAAGTCACAGTTTCCCTTCTTTTCCCCTTCCCAGCTGACCACTTACCCTTCACTGTCTAGCACATCCTTAATGCTTGCCTTGGTGATTATGGCATCATCACACTTGAACCACTGGTCCTTGTGCTGCCTGATGAAGCTGGTATAATGCCCACTCTCCAAGGTTCCCTGGTGATTAACTACTGCAAACAAGGAATACCTGGGGCAGAAAACAGTCAATTGAACACGTGGATCAAAAGGGGAAAAACAACTGACATTTTAGACAGGCAGAAGCTTTTGTTCACAAACACATATAGCAATGGTAAAGGATCTGATCCATCAATAAAACACCAGCTTTAACATCTACTGGGAAGAGGGAGTCCTTGCCAAGGGAAAAACTCGCATTTTTCTTTTCCTGTTTTGCTGTTTCTGCAACTCTCCAGTCTGGTGACAGCCATCAGCTTTACCACTGCTGGCTACCAAAGATTTTTCTTCTAAAATATTGATATTGGTGCACTCCTGAAGAGGATCACTGATTATCTAGTCTGACCTTCTACTTCCCTGCATTGCTCCAGTGAACCAGAAAAAATGCATTTGAGGTATGGAGAAGGAAGCAGTCTTAAATATTTCTAAACTAATTTACTGATTAATTATCCTTAATCTGGAAAGTCTGTACCTATTTTGAAATACTGAATATATTCAGCCTCAACTTCCAGCTCTCAGATGCTGGTGTGCATTTGCCTGAAAAACAGCAGACACAACTCTGTTCCAAAGATACTGATAATCAAGTTGCTCTCATTTTCCTTCTCCTTTTCTTTCCTTAAAAAGGAGAAGACTGAAGTTCTCGGCTCTTTTGTTCAAAGGTAAGATTTTGTTTCCAGTCCTAAATACACTTGGGGCTCTTTTTCAAATGCTCTCCACTCTCTTTAACTCTTTCATAAAATGCTATACTCAAACTGTGTGTGTGATACAAGCACAGCTGCCCAATGGTAAAATAATCTCTCTAATCTCACTTGGTATTGTCCTGCTCATGTTTAAAATTCACAGAGCTCTTTTGACACAGTGGTGCCACCACAAGGCACCTATTCACTGACTGCCTACAGAGCCACTGATTTATAGTCACCCTGTTCTAGTGGAGTCCTTTAATCCAACTAGGATGGGCACAAATTTCAGTTCCAGCTGGAGGATTCCAAGATTGCTCCAGCTCTTTACTGGCACCCAGATAACTGAGCAGCCCAGGTGCCTCTGCTCTCATTACCTAAATCCTCTTCTTTTTTAACACCTTCTCCAACTTAAGGCATGTGCAAACCTCAACAGTGATTAGCTGTGTTTCTCTTTCAGACCTTTTCTAACAGTATTAAACATCCCACTCCTCATGAATCAAGCTGTAGGACCACACAACACTTGCTTGGTACCTCCTGGATGACACCTGCACCAAGACCTGGTTAGCTTGTCTTTAAATCTTTGTGTGATTCCAGTTTCTTACTCAAACTTTTAGTAGCAAATGAAGTGCCTTGAATTTAAATACACAACAGCAGCACATAACTAGCAATGAAAGCTGTAACCTTATTTAAATGAAGAGATAGGGTTTGTGTGACCGTTTTTATTCCCATAAAGCTATGGATACTGGTTTCAATTACACCCCCTTTACATTCTTGAGCAAATTCCATATCATTTACTCTGACTGTTATCAATACCTGACCAAGAGACCCCAGGATTACCGGGATCATCTATTTGGGCCTTTGAGTGTCACTGTTCTACAAACTCTCTTTGGTCTTCTGGCACTCCCTTGGCCATTGCAATAGAAAGAGGATTATTTAAAGGAAACCCCCATCCCCTGTAAGGCTGTAACCACAGGTTTTAGCTCTGCCCACAGACTGGTTGCTGGGGGGGATCACCCCCAGCTCTCAAACTCCACAGAAGGGCAGGAATTGTAGTGAGTGAAGCTTTGTTTTGCAACAGTTCAGACTTACTGTGCTGTCAAATATGGTAATGCACTGGCACTGCAGGATATACAGCAGAGTATCTCCTTCTAGAAGGCAACTACCTTTCACAGTAGGAGTCATGGAATGTGCCACTTACTTATTATCATTGTTTAGACTATCCGTCGGCTGCTGGTACTGCCCGTTCATTCTGCTCTCTTTACTGCAACACACACACACACAAAAATCCAGTCACTTAAAGCAGAGGCTTCCCAAACCCAGGAAATAGGTCTGACATGACACAGCCTGTTTGCCAAACCCGGGTCCTTACTCCACAACGCTGCTGAGCATCAAAAAGGCTGATTAGGATGCTAAGGATGCTTTATTTGCTCTCAGAGCAATGTGCTACTTCCCAAACAGCATTTCTGCTCCTGGTCAAGGCTTCAGTGCTGCAAACACACATCTGTTTACGTCAAATCTTTTATCCAAAAAGCTTAAAAACAGGTTAAGAAAAGATTTGTATTTGAAACCCGGGAAAATATCTAATTACATCAATCCTTTATCTTGTGATGGGTCAATCATCCTGGCTCTGACTTGTAAATTCATTTTGTGTTTTGACAGCAGCAATAAGATTATGCTGTTGATTTCATAGCTGGTAAAATTCAGACTACTGAGTTATGCCTGCTGATTATCCCAGCTCTATTCCATTATGCTGGATACCTTTCATCAGCAGAGCCTGTTTTATCCAGGGAGAATTCATCACAGAGGAACAGGGAAGTCTCAAAATCTCCAGAATGTATTGGAATAAACCATATATTCTTAATATAACACTATTTAGCAGAGCTTCAGGGCTCTCCTTTCTCTCCTGGTAGAAGCATCTACATTTTTCCAGGGAAACGGGGAGGGCAGGCAAACCTTGACATGACTAGTAAAATTTTAACATCAAACAGAGCCCTCTCTGAGATGCCATGTTCTGGGGCTTTCTGCATTGCTTCAGATATAAATTAAATCTGAAAATCCTCTTGTATATTTGCATGGAGTACTGACAAATACTCGTTAACTGAGCTGATTAAATTCCTTTCATAAAGGTGTATTTATATAAATGGCACGTCCTCCACAAACCCGGGAGGTGGGGGAAGTCTTGCTGTTTCTGTTTAAACACCAATTAGAAATAGCTATTTTAATCTGGACTATGTTTTTGCTTCTTGCAGCATTCTCTAAACAGAAGCTGAAGGTACAAAACAAAACACTCCAGCTTTGCATATGTGCAGGAATAAAAAGGAAGGATTTTTGTAACTTCATGAATACAAGGTTAGGCATAAGGTTGGGTGTAGTCTGGATAACGGCACAGGATGGCTGGTGGGTGGGCACTCAGGTGATGGGATCAAAACAGAGATCTAAAGGCAGGATGGATCTGGGTCTATAAATTCAACTGGCAACAAGAAACATAACACACAGTAATTAAAAAAAAAAAGTAATGTTTAAAGTAACATTTAAATATAAATCCTTTTCAGGCACATGAAACTCTACAATTTATCTAAAAATGAGTTTAGAAAAGCTACACCTCTCAAGGAGAAGCTCCCAGCAGAAGTGCCGCTGTCAATACTGTTCTATCCTGTGACTCAAGGATGTTCCATGTTTCATGCTGCACATGGATGAACTGGTAACCAGTTCTGTGCAGGTCTGTGGGGGATTTTGGACCTTGGTACACACCTGGAAGCCATGAAAGGTGTCATGTCCAGCTCCAGTGGAAACGAGACATACGTAGTGATCTTCCGCCTCAGTTTGGCTGAGTGTTCAAACCGCTGCAGGCAAAGGGGGACAGGTTTTTTTCTTTAGAGAAAGACTAAGTTTTATTCTTTTATAAATGTCCTAAGCTTAAAAACAACAACATGAAAGCATATTAAGAGTCAGTATTGCAGGGACAACCCCCAGATTTTTCCTACCAGCTCTCTGGGCTGGGAACCCCATGTAAATTCTAACACATGTCTACCAGGAAAATAAACCACCATTTTGGGGCTTAATATTAATACCATATTAATTAGATTGTTTACTTTAATATCTATGCATACAAATGTATTCCTAAGTGACATTAATAAAAAAAATATACTAAACAGAGAGAGCACACACAGCCTTTACTCAAACCAGTGTTCATTTGTACTAGGACTGTTTAAATCCATGGCTGCTGCCTACCCTGGCACACAGAACTGGTGACAACTGGAGCTTGCCTTCAGATTCACACACTTAATCCACCCATCCAATCATCTCAAGTGACAGGAGTCAAGCCTACACAGGAATACCAATTCAAATTAATGCAAAAAATGGAATATGATAACAAAAAAAGCCTTGTCCCTCGGCCAAAAGGGGCCTGCAATACCCACCATCCTCTCCTCATCTTCTTGATTGAACATTACATGGAAACAGGAACAAATACCAGAAAGAGATGAATGAGTTTCTATTTAAAGGCAGCTGCTCACTCAATTTCTCAGAAATTCTGCTCTATTTACACTTCAAGTTAATTATTTTCCAACTGTGATGCCGTAAGAATTCCCTAGCAACAGATCCAGATGTGAAAAGCTGAGACTTCTGCAATTCTTATCTTTCGAGTTTCTTTCTTGCTTTAACATGTGAAATAAAATGAAATTTGCATTTTGCATAGACAGGACAACAAAATCACTTATGAAAAATAATTTATTTTCAAAAAAATCTTCAGTCAAATACTGAACTGAGCAAGGGAAAGGGGTTGAGCACATTCACCTTGACTTGCCCAAAGAGCAGAATCCCCACTTAGCACCACATTTCAGACAGAAATTGTACAGGACTAAACTATCTGGGGGCACCAGCATTATCTACAATAATTCCACGTGACATCATCTGCTTTGGAAATCTTTAAAACTACATCGCAGTTGGGACGACACAAAAAATGTTCCTCCATTGCTATCAGAACTTTTTCATGCCTTTCCTTCAACACAGAGGCATTTTTTCAGTGAAAGTGTAAAAATATTACCATGCAGGATGAGTGTTACTGGAGATTGTTGTCTATGCTGGTTCACATATTAGACCAGCTTTCCATCCTGTTTCTGGATTCTGGCTGGTTAAATTCCCACAGACACACTGCAAAGCTACATTATAGATAATGTCACACTATCTTAATAGAAAATCTAGCTGGGCAACGCAAGCTGTTTTTTATATTAATTTATATCATAAAAGTTTAGTCAGTGAAAGCCAGAAGACATGTCCAGGAACTCAGCTCATCCTCTCAGAGAGGAAATCACATCCTCTGCTCTGTCAGCCCCCTGTGAACTTACTTTGAGATGAAAACAGGCCACAATGGGTAACTTCTTCATAGTGAGTTGTTTGGTGGATTCCTGGTAGCTATGGCAACCACTACATTTGATTTTGGCACTGCTTCCTAGATGTTCTGGCCTTGTAAACCTAAAAAGTACATTGACAAGTAGAAGGATGCACAAAACAATCAGATGATTTTTCACACATGCTGCAAACAGTTTTACCTGTGGGTCACTGGCATCACAAGAGACAGAGTCCATGGCTTTTAAGTGCCATTTGGAAAAAAACCTATAATAATGTAAAGTGCTATGGTTCAGAGGTTCAAATCTGACACTGACCACTGATCTGCTTGGGAATATTGCACTGAAGTGCATCAGTGTCTGAGAAAGAAGCTCAATGTTAATTCATCTCCTACAGCAGAACAGCTAATTTTCATACAGAAAGCAAAGATCTTTTGTTTTCAAACCCAAAAACATTGTTATGGAAGACACTCCTCTGCAAAACACTCTTCCACCTTGTAGCCCTGCAGGGCTGGGATCAAAGCTCTGACATGGAAAGGGCTGTAAACACCAAGTTCTTTTCAAAATACAGATACCTTTCAAAAAACCCCGTGTTGACAACTAGAAAAATCTCTTTCAAAATTTTCAGACAGAACTGCTCAAGGGAGATATGGGAAGAGACCATTACAGAACAGGGAACTGCTCAGAGAAAATGTACTACCTCGATGTTCTCACCACAAACTAAAGCAAAATCCCTCTTTTCCAGAAACTGTCAGCACAGAAAGGGCAGGACCATGGACTGTCAAGACCTTTCCTCCAAGTTTAGACTTCCATGGGGAAATCAGTCATCTCCCCAGAACCTGCCCTGCAACCAGGATTTTTGAGATGAAATATCTTGAAATAAAATTGAAAATTTTACATTACTGCACACAAAGCGTGTGGGGGCAACCCTGCCCTGCCTCACTCTGACTATGACTAATGCAGACTCCAGCATTAAATGACCACAGCCTCCTGGTCCCTCCTCTTGATTAATTAACAAGATTTCCTTTATCTGGCCTATGTACCATCATTCTCTGGGTTTGGTTTGCTGGTTGTTTTGTCCTTTGCTATTGTTTGTTTTCTCTTAAGTCTCTAAAGAGGCTTACAAATGTGCTGTTATTGTTGTTTCAGTGCCCTCATCTTTCTGTTTTTGTGTCATATTCCTGCTGAATCCTTCCTTCTTCAAGCCAGCTTCAGTTGCATGGCCACACTGGTTGACAGACCTTTCCTTCTTGCTAACTTTTGGGTAAAAATCTAGACCCATCCTCTTTATCCATTAGAGTTCAACTTCTTTCCAAAATCCATACTCTTTGAGGGTATCTTTGAACCCAGATGTTTTTCCTCCTCCACCATCATCCCTGATTCTACTAATCTCCATGTTCAAGAAAGTCACCAAAATTCAACCAGTTTTGCCTCTTGATGCATTCCTGCATGAGCAATTTCTCCTTTGTACTAATTCCCTTGTTTCCTGAAAATTACTGATCTTAACAGTAATAATTTAGAAATCAGATGTTAGAGATTATGAATTCTTGTTTTAGGAGGATTAGCTTTGCCCTGGGTTCCAGGTAACCTCTTCCTCAGACATATATCTACACTTGCCACAAAAAAAAGACTTTCAGATCTTCTAAAAGATTTAAGTTAACTGTACAGAAAGCCATAACCTGCCCTCCAGGTACCTGTTTCCAAGATGCCCAAGTTTCAGGTTCAGAATTAGCTTTTCTTTTCGAAAGCTCAATTCCTTTAATCCTCAATGACACCCCTACAACTCAGCTGGCAGCAGCTGACCCTCAGCTCTGCTTAGAGCAAAATCAGACTCGTACTTAGATGAATATTAAATGTATTGTGAACACTTTTTATGTGCTTTCTTAGCCTACACCACCAAGAACATGGAGGCAGACACTAGTGACTTCAATCACTTACAACCACGTTGCCTGGCAGCAGCCAATGCAAAATTTGCTTTCTCTTTGCATCGTGTGGCAACAGGTTTTGAGTGCTTATTGCCAGCCCTACTGCTGCTCTGAGCCTCCTCTGCCTTCTCACTTTCTCATATAGAAACAACAAAAATACGTGTAAAAACACCGTCTGGGGACAAAGCCGTGACAAAGCCTCACTTTTAGTCCTACTGTTTAGTGCCACCTGGAAAAGAGGAGGAAGCCAAATCCTGTTTATCCCACCAAAATATGTGTTTTGCTCAGGCCATACCTTCGCAAGCAGTCTGTGAGAGTGGTGGTGCCCGAGACATGGCTTTCCCCATTCACGACACTGCCATCACTCCCCGGACTCAGCGGCCAGAACGGGGTGGAAGAGCCTGGCAAATCCAAACTGATGTCCCAGAACGGGTCTATCGTTGTGGAAACGCCGCTGTGGGAAAGAAAACGGTTCAACACACGTTTAAAGGAAGGAAAAGGAACGGTCTCTCTCCCTTTGGGGTTGCACGGCAGGTACTTCATTTTGAGGGCTTTGGGATCTCCATCACCCCTAGAGGGCACTCAGAGATGACAGAAAATAGAGCTGCTCCAGAGTGTTTTCCCACAATCGATCGTTTTCCTGAATATTTAAAAGCCATATGTTTGGGGAAACGTATGTGATGCTTATATGTTCCATTTAGTACATTTAATACATTCTCTCACTCACTGGAGCCCTGTGACTCAGAGCAGTCTCATTCTGAGATAGAGGTACTGGTCATGGACCAGTATAAAAATGATGGCAGCTACATGCCATCCAAGCAGTTTGGAAGCTGGTCTTCTCTGGTCAAGACATGGAAGATGGTGCTTAAGGCAACTTCAAAAAAAATAAAGAGCCTTTAAATATTTTGCTGCCCAGCAGTGCACTGAATTCAGCTTTGCAGTTCCTATCAGCATCTCCTACAGCCTTTGGAATTTGAGAGGCCAAAGAATAACTGCACCAAGCAGTAGCTTATGTTCTCCATCAGATTTCTTTACAAGACAGCTGAAGATAAGCCAAGGGCCAGACCATGGAAAAAGCTTCTCGAAATTTTAACTAGTATTGACTCAAATCTTTTGCAGCATTTACATTTTTAAGAGAACTCCAGAAGTTCAGGGTCTAAGCTCTTAGTTTGGAAGCACATTCTCCTTGTACCTTTTATGTTTATTTTCTGAGTTCTCCCTTCCTCTAAAACTAGTGTCTTTCACTCTGCAATCTCATTAAGCCTTCAACATTCTGCCTTTTTCCCCTGCTTCATTTGTGCAAAAGTTGTCAATTTTCGAAAGAAAACTTCTTTTGTTAAAGTTTCATCAGTGTTAATATTGTGTCATAACACATCAAGCTTTGCATTATCACATAAGGATTCTGTGGCTCTACCAGGCAAAGAACAAAATTTCCTATGTTTTCCTTACAGTAAATCTTCTGCAAATCCCTCCAGGAAACTGAGAATAAAAGCAGATTCAAACAAGCCCAGCCCCACAGTCCATCTGCAGGACAGCAAGAATGCAAGGCAGAACAAAAAACAAGAACTCTGACTTCTGTGCTATGGTAACACCAAACACCTCCAAAGAGAAGTCAACTTGCTCCAGTACAAAGCAGAACAATAAATACATTTTTTCTTAATCTTGTGAAACCTTTTTTTCTGGTACCTGAGATTACATGAGGTATCAACCTCTTTGAAATCTCTCTTGATGATACATGAGGCTCCTGACTGAAGAAAAATGTGGTTCTGTATCAGAATTTTCTTCAAATGTAGTTGCAATCATGTACTTTCAAATCCAAAGAGCTCTTGGAAGCCTCTTCCTCATTACCTTGGAAAACAACCTTTTCTAAATTAGTAGAGTTTATATGCATAAACCCATGGTACCTTCTAGGCAATTTTTTGGTATGTCTTAATATATGACACTTAATTGGTAACTGATTGCATTTAGCTGATAGAAATTATAGAATCCCAGAATGGTTTGGGTTGGAAGGGACATTAAAGCTCATTTCATTCCACTCCACCCTCTGCCATGGGCAGAGACTCCTTCCACAAGACCAGTTTGCCCCAAGCCCTGTCCAACCTGGCCTTGGACACTTCCAGGGTTGGGGTAGCCACAGCTTCTCTGGGCACCCTGTGCTGCTGCCTCAAGATGCTGCATTTACACAGTTCTTGCCTTGCTGGAATTTTGCTGGTATTTACTGATGTTCAAGACAGAAAAAGTTCAGTTGCACTGGAGGGGTAGCAGATTCAAATCAGAGCCCAGGATCAGGAAAAAAAGACTTACTGGCAGACTTGACAGGTAACATCTGACTGCAGTCCGCCTGTGAAGATTTGGTCTATGATGCAGTTACAGTGGTTGGGGTTGTTGGCCTTCTTCCCATTATCATCACCTGCAGGAATGCAAACACAGGCTCAGAAGTCAAAAATCCTCCAAGGGAACATTGGTTTGTCTTGGACTGTGTTCCTGTAACTCTTTCTAACAAACTTATACTGCAAGTTCACATGGACAGTACAGAACCCTGAAAACACTGCACATTGAAGAAAACAAGGAAACAAGATGGGAACTCCTAGAAAAATATATCAAAGGTGATTAAATGCAATTCACTCCTGTAGAGGTGATGCTTTAAGCCATATCAGCTCTTAGCCAAACCCTTGTTCAAGGTACCTCCCTTTACAAAAATTTGCTTTGCATTGCCTGGAATAAAGATCAGCTCTTAAGACAAAGGAGTTGCCAAGATGGTTGATGAAAATGAACATTTAGCTTCTTTTCCTAATGAACAGAGAGAAGTATCAGCAAATGCTATTTTTTAATTATACCCCAGTCAAATTCTGCGAGTAGAGTGAGGGGAGAGGGTTTGTGAAGACCCATCACCCCCCCAGCCTGCTCCCTCCATCCCACCCTTTCAACATCAACATGTTCTTTCCATACAAGTTTTCACCAGTGGGAAAATGAAAGTTGTCCCTATCTGAAGTGGAGAGATCATGCTGTGTCCCCCTCCAGCTTCTCCTGAGACACAGCAATCCTCTGAGTTCCCAAGGGGCACAGCAAACACATTTCCATCTTTAAGGCATCACAAACTCTCACTGGAGTGACAAGGCCTTGGGAGCACAGTAGTAATTTTTATGATTTGAGTGCTGAGATTAGGCCAATTCAGCTTTCTTATACTAACTAGAGCATTAAATAACCAAAACCTTCTTCATGCAGCTCTCAGGTTCAAAGCCTTCTCCCTCCATTCCCCAAAGGTGAACCAGGAGTGATACATTTTTCCTTTGATTTCCAAGGCTGTGCACTGTTTATTTTCCTTGGGTAGGATGCAACTGGGTTTGCTTTGCAGTCAGAGGTGCACACACCAACTATTTCACAGCACCAGCTGATTATTTTGTGAAGGACATCTTAAAGATGTCCTCCCATCTCCAACAACAGAAACTGCTACAACAGAACTACGTTTGGCCATGTTTCCCAGTGTCTTTAACTTATTTGGAAGTATTTAATATCTGAAACTAAAATATTAAGATGCTGACTCCTCAAATCACAGCTGTTTCTCAAAACCAATTAATTTCTAGACAAGAATGTCAAAAAAAAATCATCTGAAAAAACTAAAAGCATAGGGCAAAAGACCACTTTCCTTGTGACTGTGATGCTCTAGCTGGAGTTTTCTTGCAGCAGGAAGAAATAAGATTATTTTCTTTTTTTTCCAGCGAAGTTTTAGAAGTTTGTTGGAGAATATTATATAACCTGACCTAATACTAAGTGTGGAAAAGCAGCCATAGGTGATACCTACTAAGCTGCAATAGGGCACTTGAGTTAATTAGATCCTAAATGCCTCGGGAAAGCTCTCCCTCAGCTGCTGGATTTAGGCTTTAGAAACTTTTGTTTGAATTTCCAAGAAAAGCACATTGTTTCCTTAGAGCGGCTCTTGAACAAAATGCTCCAAAATTAGATTTCAAGTGTACTGAGGTTCAAGTTGGGGGTTATCAGACCCCCTCTCAGGCATTTCTTGCTGGGAATTTCAGCTAAATCTTACTGAACTTAAGAGCTTTTAAAAGTCTCAGTGCTGCTAAGCTAATGAAGAGGGCATACAGGAAAGAGACTGTACAAGGCATCTCTCACCTACAGAAATAGCTCACTTAGAAGCTTTAAAGGAAGAAAAAAATTTAAAAATTGCTGGTTTTTATCCTTCTTTAAAAAACTTCACTTTTCCTTTTTAAAGAATCCACACGCAACTACCACATCCTTGTAATCTCACCATTTCAAACATTATCTCCCTCTGGTTTGTTTTGAGGGGGCAGAAGCAGAAAAACAAGTGTTGAGAGATTTTTTTTTCCTGGACCACAGGTACCATCCCAGTTGGGCACCTTTACCAGACAAGCCATTTCCACCTACGGAGAGAAGGAGCTCTCCCTTTTCAATTACCCAAGTCAATCAGGATCAGTGATGAGAGGGTCTCCAAAGAATACCCTGGCAAGCTTGTTCCCAGCAAAACAGAAGGGCATTACCCACTCAACATTATTTCCCATGACATTTGGTTGGAGAGGAGGGGAAAAAAAAAAAAAAAGAGTAAGATTACCACCTACTCACACTTGTCAATATGGAACAGATGCTGAGAGGAGGTAAATTATGCAGCTGAGAACTAGAAGCTGCTAGATTGTTGTGCTCAAGTTAAGGTTCCCTTCAACATTTCTGTCTCACAAAGGAGGTTTTAATTTCTTTTTTTTTGGTTTAATTTTTGTTTTTAAAACTGGTCATAATTCTTACCAGGAAAAATCAGCAGCTTCTTCTAAGAGTGGTCAGCACAAGACTAAAACCAAACTTGAAAATACATAAATGTACACACTAATGTAATTATGAGAATGGCAGATAATTGAGTTTACAAGTTTGAATTCCAATTAAATGCAACTCTCAAAAAACCCCACAAAAGTTACTGCTGTGTCTGTGCAATAACTAAGCATATTAACTTGTGTTCAAATACACAGGTATTTAATATACTACTGAAGGTAAATAACACATAGCAACTGTAAGAACAGCTACAGATGACTTTCTAACATTGTTTTTGGTTTTGAAATAAAAATAAAGAAGTTCTGCCTCCATCTTCCATCCTGTATTTTAAATGAGAAACAGGAAGTCAAGAACTGTCAGATTTAAAAAGGGGCATTTATCAAATAAGACATTAATGTTAATATTTCTGCATTACTTTGGCCCCCAGTGTTCTGAACATGTGCTTGTTATTTATGACAAAGCAGTGTACACACAGATCTATATGGATCATAGCAGATGACATGTTTCAGAAGCATATGCTGTATCTGTTCCTAAGAATATCAAGCAGAATTCTCAGAGCAGGGCAGTGTTTTCCTCCCCAGTCTCAGCACACCGTTCCTTTTCCTGTCATGATACCTCACACCAGGCTCCAGATTTCCTTTGTAGCACTCCTTGTTAAAGGTGAATGCAGAATGCTTCATGAAATCCAAATAAATGAGGAATAATCAGTTTTGAAGTACTACTTTCTTTTTGTCAGACAACTGAATTAAGTCTGGGATAAAAATACAGAATTACTTCAATTTTTTTCTCTTGCCTTTTGAACCTGTGTGTATCAATGCCCATCTCTGTCACTTGATTGTTGTGCTCTCTTAATAAAGAAACCCCCACACCCAGTGATGTCTCTGGGCTGAATGTTACCTTTGGAGTTGCAATATTACTCCATACAAGAAAATAACAATTCTGATCTAAGCTTCTCAAAGTTTGAATATGTCTGAGACAAAGCTGGGAAACTACAAAGTGTCTGGATGATTTGAACCTCACTGTTGTGGGAGTTTGCAGAATTAGAACCCTGAATTTCTTCCAGAGCACTGGTAATTATGATGTATCTGTCATATTGACTAAGAGCTGACCTAATACTTTACAGACTGGGCAGAAATACACATCGTTTACATATTTTTTTTCCACCAAAATACAACTTTCCAGTTAGATCACCTCCCTCCAGCTGTTGGAATGAAAAACAAGTGATGCACAGGCATGACAGACTTGATCCCTTTTATTCAGAAACAAAGTATAGATTCAACCAGCATTAAAAAACACCAACCAACCAAATCAAAACAAAACTACCTGGGCCATCCAACCCACATAATCATCACAGGGCAGTTAATTTTATGCTTCACAGGATGCAGGATTACAAGACTTAACTTTAAATGGACATCAACATCATGTATTTTTCCTAATTTAGGTAGTGATAGATCAGTAAGAAGCATTCACAGCTTTCTCTGACTTGCATGAGGACACTTCCTAGAAAGGTGAGTAAATGGAATGGAAAAGGGATAAGTGACCAATGCCAGCCAAACAAATATCACTGGATATTTATACCTAAGGAGCACTTTCATTTACTTTGGTGCCTGAAGCTTTGGTTATCATGAATAATGTCCAAAACCCAGGGCAAAGTTTTCCCCACTATTTTATTCTACTTTACTGTGTGTTAATTGTAAAAGTTGATTATTAGACTGGAAGCTTTAAAAGCTTTTTTCATTCAGTAAAATAAATATTTAATATTGGCAGGGGAGGTATTATTTGCTTATTGTAGCTGTAGGACGTATTCTCACTATTAGTAATAATATTTTTACATCTGTATCCTTCACATGCATGTGTGTGTCCATGTGCATACACAAGTGGGAAAACTTTCTCATAACATTCAAAACTAGTTCATTCCAAATGTGGTTTTGCATGACTATACTCGAAATTCTGGTTTAGATTAACTTGTTTGGTTCCCACACAACTGCTCAACCACTTCTTTTAAATTACCTTGATGTGGTATAGATTATTTACAATATTTAAATAAAAGTCTCTTTATTTCTTTAGAAACAGAAATTTGAAAACCTGGGTGCACAGATGGCAAGGAAGATATGTCAGATATATTTTTCATTTTAAGCCAAACCACACTTTCAAAAAAAGTCTTTTCAGATTAATTATCACTTTGAGAAGAGCTCAGGGACCTTTATTGTTGCAGGTTTCTTTGTTTGTTTGTTTTTTTACAATTCTGAGCAGCAAACACTTCTTCATTAACAAATGGGGAAGTATAGAAGTATGAATATTATTTTATAGCAAAAGTGATGAAAAAAGCTTCCAGATCTGTCATATCAATGGTTCAAAAACTTTATGGGAACCAAGAAGTGTTTATCTTTGCAGATAAGTTTGCTCAGTGCTGGGAAGGGAGAGGTCAGTATTTGAGTAGATTCTGTTCCTTACCCTACTTCCACACCAGTTTAATTAGGATTATTGAAATTCACTCAGTGATTGTCCAATAACAGATATCAGTAACTACAAAAGAACTGCTCTATGTGCTCCTGTCCTTAGCAGTACCTTTTTTGGAGAAGATTCTTTTGGAGGCACCTACTGTGGATCTGAACAAGCCCATGTGCTGCCATGCAAGGCTATCTCAGAGATAAAAGCAAGACTTCACAAGGGTTCAGAGAAGCAGCATTAGCCCTCCCTTTGACAATCCTCTGATAAACCAAAAAACCAGCCTCTAAGTGCTTTTCCTAAGAGCATTTGAGGAAAGTTGAGTGCTTTAAAGCTTCTTTCTAGTGACTAAGGATTTTTTGTTTGTTCTGCTGGTATCAACCCGACTACTTTTCCCTTAGAGGAACAGGAAAAATTCCTGTGCTTCATAAGTGAACCGAGCTAGAGCAAACACTGGCAGACTGGGAAATACTCAGTTCAGATTGAGTTCAGCTAACTAACACAAAATACATAAATTCACAGGATTTTACAAAATCAGGACTTACCTACTTCATGTCTAAAAGCATACCACTGAATATTTTTATTGTACTGTACAATTGTGGATTGTTATACACAGACTAATAAAATGAGGCACCAAAACCTCTCATTTCTTTCCTTATTCACATTTCTACCAGCAATTTGGCATCATAAATACACAGGACAGGTTAATATATTAAGAATATATTAAGAATAATATTAAGCCATAGCCTTTCCTCTGTTATTTTCATCAGTCCCATGACACACTGAGTAAGAGTTCTAACTACCTCAAGTATAAATAGAATTAAAATGGCAACTTAAAAGAAAAGACAGTGACTCACAACCAGTAAGAGAAGAACATGATGGGGATTCAAAATGATGTACAGGCTTGTCTCCTCCTAATTCTTGGTAACTTTCAACGGTGGGATTGGTTTATTTATTTATAAATATTTTAAATCTATCGAACATTTGCTAAGAGTGCTGTACTGGCACTATACCTAAGAAGAGATCGTTCTACCTCCTTTTGATCCAACATTCCTTGTTGATTGAAGCCTCAGCACAAGCCTTACCTTTGCAGTGTCTGTGTAGCACATCTAATGCAGCAATGAGGAACTCGTGTGCATCTTGTTGCTCGTACCCTGCTAAATGCCGTGCGTGAGTCCATACCAGGTGCAATAACCTATATGGAATGTGAGGAGATCGGTGCCCAGAGTAAAACTGCTCAAAGCAAAGAGAAGGACACGACTGTTAACAACTTACACAGCCTCAGTGCATTCAATTATTAAAAAGTTAAACGAGCGCAATTAGTCAAATCAGTTTAAACCGTTTAATTCTGATGGCCTTAGTAATAAAACAGAGAGACAGCTCTTTGTCACAGGCTGCTGGAGAAGTGATCTCAGAACTGAGCACCTCAGTTTTCTCCCTCGGAATTCCATCATTCTGTGATGGATTAGCCAGAAAAATGTGGAGGCGCAGGGAGTGGGACAGACAGACACAAGCATCACTCAAAAATTGCTTATTGATACCACTGGCTGTTATTAAAATAGCCTGGGGTGGGGGAAGAAATTAAAATTCCTACAGCTGCAAAGGATTAGCAATTTCATTCATAAATTATGTGAATGAAATACCCCCCACAAATAGGACAAACACTGAAGATAAGAAAATTAGATGCCAACTCTCAGCCAGCCCCTGATCCATGGAAACTCTGCATCCAAAGGCTGTGCACAGTCCATTTTTTTATGGAAAAATTTCCAAGAAGAACAGCAGCCTCATGCCAGGACTGGCCTTTCACTGTATGGCTCTACCAGCACAAGGCTTTAGAAACAACCTTATTGAGCCAGCTGTTTGCAGAGCTGAAGGCACCCCTTCAGACACCTATTCCCAAAGCCAGCTGCCATCCCTCCTCCGGGTGACACCGTCAGGGTGTCACTGCCTGGGATCTGGTCCTGGACCAGCTCCTGCATCTGCTCCTTCATCTGCTCCAGTCAAAATCTGATGAGTTGGCTCCAGCAGTGACTGAAACTGCCCCAGGTGATTTTGCCAGAAGCACATTAGAGAATGCACAGACAAATTATTCAGTCAGCAAAACCCATGATGTGAAACCCCACTGGTGAGTGGTGACACACAGCTGGGGAGGGCAGATAACTACCTACAGACTTTTTTTTTATTAAAAAAATAGCCAGATCCCACTTAAAAAAATTCAACCAAACAAACCCCAACCAAACAACCCAATCCAAAAAAAAAGAAAAAGAAGCCAAAAGAACATCCATGCTAAGGGTCTGTGTTTCCCTGGGTTGAGGTTCAACCCTTCCTTTATTTCTGTGCCATAATACCAGTTCCAAAAGCAAAGCAGGGATGCTTGTGGTGTCCCTGTAGGGAGACAGAAAGGGCCCACAAGAGTTTATTCACTTGGCAGAGTATTATTTTTAAGTCATTTTGCCTTCCCTCACCTTTGGGAAAGGTATCTGCCAGTAAATGCTGCCTGCAACACCACAATTATGTTTTCCCAAGATCCCATCAAATCGATGGCGGTTTATTCTCAGTTACTCTTCCCAAACAGAAGACAGTAAGCAGCAAATACAAAGGACAAAAATAAGATTTAAACCTCCATCAGCACACAATTTCTCATCCTCATTGGAAAAGTGAGTTTCCTTCCCCAGCCCTGATTTTCTCCCTGCACAGTCTCTGAGCATTTTATATAAGTGCAAACACAGGCACTGTGCTACAAACCCACTGAGAGAAAACAGACTGTGTTTAAGGGACAGGTTGGCAAAAGGCAGTACAATCTTTTCATTTTCATCCAGTCCTCATATTTGTAGGGTTTTCTACGTGGCTACAGTCCATTTGCTCCCAAACAAATCTCTTCCTTGCAAGAGACGCTTTTCCCGAACAAGAAACTGCACCTCTGCAGCCAAACCCCACAAAATGCTTCTATAAATACAAAGATCAATAGTTAACTCTGATGCCAACAGGAATGACATCGAGGGACTGGAGCAGGAGTGTGGTAATTGAAATCTGCTGACGCAGCTGCTGCTCAACATAATTCAGGGAACTGCAGCAATAAAACTTCCCTGTTCTGTCACTCCTTACAATTAGTCCCAGAGCTCTCCGGTCATTTTAACCACCAGCACTCCGTGTAATTACGCCACTGCAGACATGAGACCTGCCAGCAGCTTTTACATCCTCTGGTGCTTCAGTAGGATGAGAGGCAACAAGAAGCTTTATCAAATTATTAACTATTATCACTACAGAAACGAGAAACCCACCCGGTAAGAACGTGGGGTGGGGGAAAGCTTTCACTGCTCAAATGAGTGTAAAATGAAACAAAGGAATCTGAGCACATTCAACAGCAATATTTTAGCTGGAATGTATTAAAAAAAAAATCCATCCCATCTTGGTCATTTCCTTGCTGCTGGGAAGAGCAGCCTATCAGAGCTGTTCCAATCCACAAAAAGGAACAAAGTCCATGTAAAGTCTTGTTCCATCACTCACCAACCTTTTCAGTAAAGTGTGCAAATACAAATAATGATGTATTTGCAAGTCACATTTAAAGCACTTCAATGGCACAACTGTTCCAAACCTAATTTAAACATAATTTTTTTTGTTTAGATTCGTTTTCAATTCTGCAGTATGGGTTGTTTATATTGGAGAGAACTAGTTTGAGCAATTTGAAAGTGCTGGGTAATACACTGTTTAATTGCTGTTCCAGGAAAAAAAAGGGGTGGGGGAAAGGAAAAGCTAAACCAGGATTCAAAGCTTTCATTCTTACACACAGCCCAAGTAACAGTAGTTTTGTTTTTCCACTTAAAACACATGCTCTTGGGTTCTAAAAAGAAGAGTCTGTATGGGATTATAGAAGACTCTAGGTTTTGTAATTTGCATTATTGTTACCAAAAATATATAGGCACCAGTAAGGTTTTAAAACAAAAAAACCCATCATACACATCTGTACTTCTTCCTCCTCCTCCTGCCAAAAACACGTACAGAAGTTTCCCAATTATCCTGCATATATATCAACTAAACACTCTCCGAGCTTTCTAATTAAGAATTTATAGGCAGAAATCCTGTACCAGGTTCCAGTCCAATTTGAGAAGTTAAAACCTCCTCTTGGAAACTGGTTCTCAATTAAGACTTTAAATATTCTAGCAATTTACAGGGGATGAAGGGAGTGGGTAACACATGCACCTTTCAGAATAACAGAACACCTTCTGGAGGTTTCCCAAAGAGGTTCAAGTGGTCACAAAATCAATTTTGCTTGCATGAACTCTGCATGTTCTACACTTACTTCAGAGAAAGGGTTTTACTAAATCAGCACACTCTGTATTTTCCATGACAAAATGCAAGGCCTCTGACTATGTAAAGAGCCTGAACTACATTTTTTCCCCTCTTGTACCTTTGTTGTAACTTAGTTTATAAATAAGCCACTTCACCAGTACTGTCTTCAGATATCAATGCCATAAATCATCTTATTAGTTTCCCTTTTTGTCCTCACTTCTCAACTCTTCCTGTAGTTGTGCTGTGCACTGTGATAGGCTCAGGAGGATGAGTAATGATGGGAAAAAAAGAAGGGTTTGTTCTTTCCACCTCTGAGTGGATGCACTGCATTCTGCTCTGTTCCCAGGTATTCTTGCTATTCCAGTCACAGAGCATACAGAGATACAGATCTGTCATTTTGGAAAGGATTTAGATAAACCTTAGGGTGTGGACCATCCTGAAATTAATTTTCATTGGTGAAGCAAAACTAAAACACAAATACCAGCAGGTAAAAAGGAGTGCACAAACCCTTTCAGCCAAAAGGCTCAATGAATGGATTCTGTGTGTTCTATCTTCCCTCCATCCAGTTTCACCACTATCTGTTTTTCCCAAATCCTTTTCATTCCTTTTCTTATGCAGTGTAAGTCATGTCATGGTTCTATTGAGAAATAGATTTCAGGTAGCACAAATGAGAATGTTAATTGATGCAGTCAGATAATTTTAAAACAGAGATCAATGCTTGGCATATTTGCAAGAAAAGCCACCAGGAAAAAAACACCTCAGTCCTGAGAACCATCTGATCCTCATTACTCACCACCAACCTCCTTCAAGGTGGAAGAAGTTTGTAGCTTCCTATTTGTCACTGAGAAATCACTCAACCCATATAATTACATGATCTTAAACATAAAAAAGAGGGACAAGCAGTTTCTGTTTAAGAAGCAAAAGAGCAATACTTGCTTATTTAGGCATAGTAAAAGCTTTACTTAATGTTACTTTTTGTCCTGGAGAGCTCTCACTCAGGCACTCACCAGATCCCCTGGCATTCCATTTGCCTCAGATCACACCTTCAGAAAAGCAGGGTGGAGGGGAGATGAAGTTAACCCTTGCCCTGATTGTTTGTCCCTGGGTAAAATGCCTTGGGATAACCACACAGTTAATCCCAGTGGGAAAGCTACGTAGAAACAAGACAGAACCTGAATCAAAGTTTCCCTGGTAATTCAATTACAAAGGAATTCTTAACCATAGCCCTGAGATCTCCAGTGGTTTGCTTTCCTTCACTCAGACCTCAGCTCTGCAAAGGCAGCACAGGAACCTTCATCGTAACTACTGCAAAGAGCTGGGACACGAAAGATCACTGGTCTGATCCAAAAAATGCAAGATTTCCATTTTAATTCTGAATGTCGAGAAATTAAAACTCACTGGGATCAGAATTTTACTGACAGAGCCATAAACACAACAAGGTATTTACTGCTCATGAGTTACAATATACCAAGTTGGTTGCAGACCCTAAAGCTTTGCTTGTGAGGACTAAGCTCTAGTTTTACTTCAAGGAGGTCGAGTCACTTTTTGTGTCCTCCCACAGCACAGGGCTGCAGGATTTAACATGAAATGAGGACTGATATTACTGCTGTCTCCACAGCCTGACATCACAGATATGGCTGTTCCCTCATCTATATCCCCCCATGTTGCACAACATTAATTATTAGAATTAATACAAGTGTAGGCATGAATTTTGATTGGGGAAAATGAAGGCTGAGCTCCCCAAAGTCCTGTGTGAAATTAAACTTGATTACAACTGAAACTAATGCAAATGCTGCATTTAAGCCCCATTTTGGATAACAGCCTGTTCTTTGTTCCATGCTCATAGCAACAAAAGCCATCCTAGGCCATCAACAGGGCTCCACACACAAAAATGGAAACAAAAATCATTACCTAGAGAGTCTTGATCTTTCCTCCAGCCTCTCAATCTGTAATGTAACACTCATTTCCCCTTTCCCAAGGGATTTTTTAAAAATGCGTGTGTGTAAACAGAGTGTGGTGATATTCATCAGCATGAGACCTTATATCACAACTTGATGAAAGGATATCAAGATTATAACAGTTCCTTTTTTTTTTTTAAATAAGCAAATAGGTTTCCATATTAACAGTGTACAGAAACTGGTATTTCTATACCAGAACTGATTTTTTTTATCTAGGCATTGTGGTATTTCCCCATTTAACTGCACATCTGTTTTCAATAATCCTGCAGCTGCTACCTATTGGTCTGCCTGCCTTTTGTTTTTACCTCCTTTCCTGACAGACTTAGAAACAACTGAAAAACAGAACAAAAAATAAGAAATAAAACATGCAACTAATGACTGATAAGCAGCGTGAAATGTTGCAAATTCCCTGCAGTGCTGAGTATGAGCAGAAAAGAACTTTCTACTTGAACAGCTAAGGGGGGGCTTTACCTTCCATGTGTGTTTAACTCACCTGCAGTGACCAAAAAGAATCATCTCTGGTGAAAAAGGCACAGGAGTAAAAACAAATTGAAAATCACAAGATAAAGGTAAAGCTATTTTAGGTTGGTTTAGGTTGTTAGAACAAATTTCCATGACAGCACATACACAGAAAACCTGCTCTGTGTACAAACAGCTCCAGAATCCTAAATACTGCATGACAGCACGTACTACAGCATTTTTTTGTTTGGTTTTTTGTTTGGTTTTATTTTTACTTACCAATAAAGCAGATCTATCACTGAGGGAAAGGCACAGAACTGAATTTGTTTGCTTTTAAAGACATTTTAAAGCTAGAAGCCCACATGTAGCCACAATCCTTATATTGCTAATGGGGAATTAAGAGAGTTAATAAAGCTCTTCGACTGTTTTATTAAGGAAAAGCCTGGGCCTTGTCTCATACAGCACAGACCAGACCTACAGAAAAAGACACACTACAAAGCCAGTCACCTGGGTGGGAAAGGGAAAGAAGAGCAGCTTGTACAGGGAAAACACAAATTACAGCAACACATTCACTTTTCTACACCTCCTTCCTGGCCATTACTGGGTTTGCACGGAAGAGGTGACAGCAAAGATGTTTCTGCCTGTGAGAAAGCACTGAATCGAGATCTTTAAAATATTCATACAGACCTACATAATCCAGTGCCTTAAACCACGAGGCTATATACTACTGCTTTATTCTCACTCCCATTATCACCCAAAGAGCCCGTGACATATTTTCCAGTTACAACTTGCACCTTTAATTAAAGCACACATTCAGTTTTAAGACTAAAGCCTCGCAGATCAGTCTTAGAAGGGCAGGCAGCACTGTAATTATTTCCAAAACCACCTTTGCCTAAACAAGGGTGACTTCAGAATAGGCCATGAAAGGCCATTAGTTTCCTTTTCAGCAGCTGGGTATTATTGACAGTAGGGTCTCAATCTTTACTGCTCTGTTTTGCTACACCTTGAGGGGAAACGTGGACTTGCCTTTCCTTTATATTTCCAAATAGAACACAATGGTGATGCTTTGTGGCAAACAACACTCACCTCCTGAAAGAGTGTAGACATTTCACAGACCAGACATGAGCTGGGGCTTTGCATTTCACATTTGTGCCTGTCGGAGAGGAAGAAATCTCGCAGCAGTGGAGTGTGGGTAAGTGCCTGGACAATACAGTTCATAAAACATGTGTTCCCAAGATTGATTAGCCCTCGTAGACCTATAAAGACAGAAAAGGGGGAGGGGATGCATAAGCATTATCGAGGAAACAAAATGGTGTATTTGCATTTTTATATAGTTTTCACAATATTGCCACAGCTTTGCTGTAGATGCACAGCTCCAAGTACAGTTTTAGACTGGTTTAGGGAGGCTATTGGTTTTGTTGTACTCAAGTCATGAGGAGCTGCAGAAGCTTTCTGAACTACACTAGGATTTGTTTCTTAAATTCTCAGAAATAAGGAAACCCCGCAGTACACCACCACCAATAGCATTATTTTGCAATGGCAGTTTTGCTACATGTCACCAAAACATGTCCCTCCCCGAGCTGATACCGAAGTGCAACGACAACAGCTGGTAAGTCACTACAGTAAGAAAACAATACATTTAAATAAATCAATAAGTAAGTTTTCAGATGGTTTAAAAAGGCTTTCCCTCATGCAGGTCACGAAGCCAGAATAAGGTTTTTATAGTATTATAATGCAATAATCATCTTTCTAAGACAGGCAGCAAAGGGAACAGCCCTGACAAACAGAGTCAGGCCGTGACATCCAATGCAGACTCAGAAGATTTTATTTTTTTTTGTATAAAACCCAAGATTGGAATAAAACCACCTTAAAAGAGAAAAATCTGAACAACACTAATTCCACACTCGTTTTAGGTAAATTAAACATTAATCTACAACAGACATCAAAAAATTCAAGTTGGCATAAGAGGATTCATCACACCTTAAGTCAATGCTCAGTAATGCCCAGAGATGATTTCTTGTGCTTGGAAACCAAGATGCTTAAAGGAAAGCTCTTTTGTTGCACAACAGAAGAGAGGTTAGGAGTGGGGAAAGCTTTTCAGTCATTTGCAAAGTCTAAGTGAGAAGAAAAACATGCTCAAATCCTTGAGTATTCTTCCAAAATGTTAACATAATACCATACAGGAGTGCTAAACAAGAAGAGCATCAGGTGGACAAGAATGCTTATTTTTAATCAAAAACTTACTTTGAAATGAGATAAAATGCACCAATAGATACAATTCTGGTATTGATTTAAAATTAACATAGTCCTCTCCTGCAATATAAATAGGATTACTACAGAAACACTGAAAGAAAAAACAGGATTACTTGACAGAGAATTATGAATTTCCTTGTAGTTCCAAGAGGGGAAAAAAAAAAATTATCAGCTGACAGTGCTGTGGTAATTAGAACTGGTGCAGTTCCCTTGCAGTACAGCAGATAGTGCTCAAAGGGCTCTTTAGCATCCTGCAGCAGGAGGAGGTGTGGTTCAGTTGCTACGTTACCGAGAGGAATCAGCACTACATCAGCTTGAACTGCTCACTGAGCTGAAGGCACGGACACAGAGCACTCCTAAATTTTTTTTCCTGCTCTAATGCAACATCGACCTCCTCCCCACAGCTTCCTGTTCCTTCTGTTTACTCTCAGGACAAAGTTTCTCATTATATTACAGTGACTTCTACTGGGCAGCAGCTTATTGCAATTATTCGCTTTATTTTCATGCTGGGAGGCAATAAGTGTGTGCACAACATTAGCAGAGTGTTAAATAGTTAATTTGTTGGAGCAGCTTGAAATATGGTGTGAGGCTTCAGCTTGGTACACAATCCTATTTCAGTGCCCAGTCTGGTCTCTGCAAACAACGTCTCAACAGGAGGGTGTTCGTGCTGTGCGAGTGGAGAAACGTTTGGTCGGTACCTCTTGCCTACCTCTCCCCTGTTTTTTTTTGCCATTTAAAATTGAGTGGTTTTATTTAAATCACAGGCTGTGCACACAGAAGGCTGGAAGGCTCCCTCACATGCAGGGTATTTCGGGAAGCAGAAGAGTCTCTCCCTATTTCTCCCTCTGGTTAGAACCAGATTTCAAAGTCAGCCTGTTCAGCACAGAAAACTAGTGGAAAACCAGAAGTAAATCTAGAGATTCACCCTAGAACTTTTCTTTTTGGTAGCTAATAGAGCAGTCACAAAAGCAAACACATAAAGGCAGCTTTTTGGAATCATTTATTAAGCATCATTTATTACATGCCTGTGGCTGGACCGTCTTTCCCTGTGACCACAAGAATGAAATCTTCCTCAAAGTTGCCACCAGAAGACAAGTTACAGGTGTCAAACTCAGAAGGCTCTTGGATTACTCTACTTGCTTGGTGTCAGCTTTTCATGGATCTAAATGGAGTGATTCATGTGCTATGACTTCACTTGAGTGAATCGAGACAAAGCAACCTGCAAAACAGACAAGGCTGAAACGTGAATACTCCAAACCCTCATAAAAATCAGAAAGTGGTGATTTGTAGCAAAACATGAGAACTTACTTGGTTGAAATGGGAAAAAGTAAAAGGAGCACACATCAATCTTATCCTTGTGGGAGCAATGACTGCAGCTGCTATACTGTCTCAAACTGATGTTTGAAATAAAACAGGTACAAGGCACTGAACTACAGCCCAGGTACTGAGTAACTAATTGCAGCACATTGGAAATTATCAAAATTTGATGTACTTAAACTAAAAGAGCTGACAGAACTCAGAACAACACATCCTGTTGTGCTTAACTTTTATGGGAAAAAATGAATTTTACTGGAAAGAAAAACAGCTAAAAATTTAAGCCTATACAGCATTCTGGTCAATAATACATTAAGAATTGAAAAGATTTGTGCCTGCCACACCTATTCCCTGCCCATTAATAAAGCCTGGCAATGTTCAGCTGCAATAGTCAAGCATTGCAACATGTGGGTCATAAATCAACAGGAAAAAAAAGTCTGCCAAAACCTCACATGCAGCAGTTCACTTCTGCCAGCACCAGCAGTGGTCTCCAGCAGCATCTAATCAGTGGACAGTATTTGTAGAGAGGAGTGACTGTCTAGGAATTGCCAACAGGATCCAACCTCTAGTAACAATAAAGCTCTGGTATTTTGCAAAGTTCTGCTGTGCTTCATAGCATTATCTTTATTTCTGCTTCCTACAAACTGTTTCTGAAATGAGCAAAAGGAACCAGTGAGATTCTTAATATATTCTACACGCAGATGTGTGTCCTTGTGGTAAGCAGTTACCAGAAAAGCAGTTTTACTTCTGAACCTTGCTGATGTAAATGTAAATATCGGAATAAATTAAATTTCCTTTAATCATAACACATGGAGTACAGCCACTGCTCTTGTTCTGTCACGAGCTGGGCTGGCAGGGCTTAAGCACACGAGCAAGAAATCTACTTCTGCAATGCCCTGAGCACAGGGAAGAATTCACCTGGGAAATTCTTCATACATTTAGTCTCAAGACTGGGTTCTAAGCAGCTGGCTTACCTTGGTCAGCTTCAGTTCTTCCATCTTCTTCCAGTAATGGTTCTGTTCTTCCCAATGCTCAAAGGAACAGATCTGCAGGACTGGGTAACAAGGCTTGTTGGGACACGGGGAGATCCAGAACACTGGTTCTGCCAGTCCACCCACGCAGGAGAGATGAAAAATCCAAGACAAGATAAGGAAATTCCACTTCTCTGTGAAATGCAACTGTACAGCTATTAAAGGTGGGGAAGCAGGGAAATGAGAGGACCACACATGAATACAAAATACAGTAAACCCAATCTTGCCCTCTTGGGAGAGGTTCTGTTTGTCTCTAAACCCAGGCTTCGTGCTGGGGTAGGAAAGACACCAAACAAACCAGTCTGAACAAATGTTACCACACAGAAACCTGTGATTTATTTGAATGAAGGTTCTGGAAGCAAGAACATTGGTCACTATATAATTCACCTTGGTGAGACAATCAGGAGATCATTCAGATGCACCGAAGAACAGCCAGTTTGAGATCCTTTATACATTCAGGACAGGTTGGCAACACCTTAGAGCAATTTTTGTCTCCTACCCCCAGTCCTCCCAGTCCCCCATCTGGTGTTGATGTTTCCCTGCAGCTCCATCAGACAGTATCACAAGTCAGTGCAAGCTGAGGAAGAGCTCACTGAAATATTTAGAGAGAGTTCAACATAACCCTTGGAAGCAAACAGTGTAGCAGAGCAATGATGATTTCTGGAATAATTTTGGGTTTTCATCCTATGTTCATCCAACAGGAATTGGCAACACCATCTAAGAGCATCTTTCTGAAAATGTATTTCAAGAGAGAACTGCCCTACTTTCCTAGCACCTAAAACTAAACCCAAATTCTCCCTCAGCTCTCAAGTTTCAGGTGCAGAACACACCACACATGACCAGAATGGATCTGTTACAAACACTGGCCCAGTCAGAACAACACATTTCTGTTCCACCTGCACGCCAGGAGCAGCAGTTTTGCTAATGGGGTTAGTGACAGCAATTATTCTGAAAAGATAATCCCTTTTGAAATAATAATACAAAAATACTCATTTCAGAAAGCAGCAGTATGCAGATATGTGAAATTACAAGTCCACACAGGAAAATGTATCACATTCCGTGACACCAGTGATCACATGAGATCAAAAAAAACCCAACCATGCAGTTTTGGGGAATTTATTTCCACACAACCTCAGCTGAGCATCCTTTCTCAGAGGCTAAAACCCACAGTAACTGCAGAAGTGGGAATACTGAGTTAAATGTACTAGAACAGTTTTTTTCAGAGATTTTTTTTTCAGAGATTTTTTACAGAACATTTTTTACAAACTACATGATAACACACTGAGGTATGAAATTATTTTGACAACAGTTTAAGAAAAAGCTACAGAAATTTTTGCCACAGCCAAATTAAATGAAAACATTTCAACCACGTGATCTTAAAAACTAACTGAACAATTCAATGTATCTACCTCCAGCAAACACAGAACATGCAATCTACCATAAAAATGAAAATGATCCAGGAGGGAGGAGGAGAAATTCCTCACTAAACAAGAAAAGGGAGTAGGAAGGGAAAATAAATGTGGCTTTGGAAGACTAGACTAAAACAATTCAGTTAAATGAATGAAAAAGATGTGGTGAGATCCAGATACATAAAAATAATGAATGAACCACAAGTGTTCCAGGAGCTTCCACAACAGCAAACCCGGTGACATTAAAGA